TGGAATCCTTGGACCCTCTATTTTTAAAAAGGGTCCGGGTTCGGGTACAGCCAATTTCGATGGTTCAGGATCCTGGTCCGACTCTGGGTTCATATCCCTAAACGCCAGCAATATATATACCTTATAAGTTTTCTATTATTTTTCGATTCTAATCTTACTCATAATTAGACCTGTGCGCTAGGCCTTCTAATAATTGGTCAACACCACTCTTGTAATTTTTTAATGTCAATCATGATGGTTTCAAATTGGCAATTCCAATGATAATAGTAACAATAATTCCACGCATATGAAAACCTTAAAATTAAATATCCCAACACGTGGCATAGTATATTAATTATGCTAGAAAGCATATCTGGATTAAATAAGAATTTAATTAATAATGTTTTGAAAAGAATTGGGAAGCACTTTCTCAAATTATCAAATTATGAATCTGATCTGGTAGAAGAACTACTCGCATTTCTTTTAAAATTCAAAGAAACTGTCGAATTTCTTTCAGTACTAAAAGGGCCTACTTTAAACTTGGCGTTACTTTTTAGAAGTGAAATTGAAACACATTTAATAGTAAATGATAGTGATAGTTCTGAAATTATTTCACTTAAGGAAAATATGCTAAAAAAACTTGCGTTACGATTTTTGGTTTGTAATTTGCAAGTAATATTATATAAGTATATTCTTTTATTTTTTATTTAAAATTATCTAGGTATTTTTAAAAATTGACAATTGTGTCAAAGTATTTAATAGAGCAAAATTGCTCAGGTTCAGAATTTATAATAAAACATCTTAAACTTATAGAGAATGATGATAATCAGGTAGTAAATATAGCTAATGAGAATGAAGATGAATTATTAAATTCAAGTTGTTTGACAAAATTGGCAAATAAACATTCAACAAATATATTATGATTCTATGTTAGGTGACTTAGAGCAAGAATGCCACAGTTTTCTTGGAAAACGACATTCACAAAATATGGACGTTCTAAATTTTTGGAGAGAAAAGAAGAGTGAACTTCCCAATCTTTCCAGGCTCGCCAAAAAATTTTCTTTGCATTCCGGCGACTAGCACATCTAGTGAAAGAGTTTTCTCTACCGCTGGATTGACGTTAAATTCAAGGAGATCATCATAATGTCCCAAAAATTTTAATAAAATAATTTTTATACATGATAATTAAATTACGAAATCGATTTTGGATATAATAAGTTTTTTATTAAATGAATATTAAAAAATATGCCGAGATATCTGTAGAATAGTGTATATTTATTTGTTTTTTTTAAAATTAATAAGCAATTAAAAAAATTTATCTTATAAAAATTTATATATGCGCCGATTTACGCCGATTTTATTGACGGCGGCTAAAAATCGGAGCGCCGCCGGGTTTATTAGATTTTTTAAAAATTGCGCCGGCCGCCAATATTTTGTTGGCGCACAGGTCTACTCTAAATGTCAAAACATTTTTAATTTTTAGGTTTTCCACATGTATTTACATCCAAATATTAAAAAAAGCGCTAACTAATAATCATTCGTAACGCCCTAAAATAAGGACAATTATTCCTTAATAATTCAATGAATAAAATTTCTAATTTGTTAGATTTTAAAATTGAAAAATAAAATTTGGGTTGTAATAAGCTAGTAAATATATTTTTATATATTATTTGATATTTAATCTAAGTATATATTAAAAAACTTTCTGAAAATTATTTTAAAAAAGTATATAATCAAATTTTGATTGATCATTATTAATTGCTTTTTAGCAATGCAGTATAGCAATGAAATATTTAGTCATACCACAAAGGGTAAAATTTAGAATTTCACTCTATTTAGCACCTAAAAATCAAATATTGTAAATTGAAAATGTTATCGAATGTTGATCATATATTGATAAAATTATCCTATTAAGAGATTAATTTTAATGCACCAAATTTCATTCGTGAATTCTTTAAGGCATAATGGAATATTTGTAGGCTATCTATAAATCAAAGTTTAGTAAAAATCTTAAATAAGAATTTGAAGATTTTTCGTTTAAAGCTTTGAGGAAAAATCTTTGAGGATCATCAAAATTGAATATCTTTTTTAAGATCACTTTTTAAAAATTTAAAATTTTGGGCAAAATTTGATCAAAACTCTTACTTGATTCTGAAAAAATCTTCATTTTTTTATCTTCAGAAGATCAAAAATCTTTGAAGATTTTTTATTTTCAGCAGTTTGTTTTGCTTTAAAGCAACTCGAGATATAACCATATTTTGAAAACAATTAATTAGTATAAGTCTGTATCTGCCAAAACAGATTTGAAAATTGCATATGTTGAAGAAAATTCCGTATCTCAAAGTAATAATCCTAATACATTCAACAATCTCAAATAATTTTGTCAGACATGTAGGCATATCACATTGAAAGTTCAGCTTATTTAGAAGCTACAATAATTATGATCATAGGTCAATCACCTGAAATAAATTTTACCATAGTACCAAATCCTTTTTTGGATTATTAAAAATTAAGTATATTCCTTGTGAAAAACAACGCTACTTCGCATAGCTTAAGCTAATTAAATACTCTAGTTTATAAAAATAGGCTACGACCTTTTGGATCTTTATACAAACTTGAAAAAAATAGTAAAGTGTCCTTCAATTTTCAAATAACGTTTAATATCCATCATTTTTGTACACTAAGCTATATTTATTTGAATCCAGGACAGGTGGACCAGTATTTTGACTGAAATAGGTCTGTGCTGGCAGAACTCTAGTATAAACATTATTTTAATATTTGAAAGTTTATAATACCATTTTTGGGTAACCTTCGCTGCTGTGTAACCAAGGTGTTCGCAAATTTGCCTGCTCTCATAAATATATTATAAGCTTAACCCCCCCCCCCCCCCCCCACAACCTTCTCTCTCAAAAATTAATACAATATATCACTAGAGTGAAGAATTTTAAAGAAAAATTAGAAGTTAATAACATTTAAAAATAATGGTCATAATTCAAAAGTTTTCGAAGAAAAGCCTTTTTATAAATAAGAAACGCAAAATTATTTTTATAAAAATATAATATGGCCAAAGGCCTACAAAAAGTGAACCTAGACCTCCAATAAAATTTATAGGGGTAACCTAAACTAAAAGTGCTTCCCCTTCCTCACTTAGAAAAATCCTGGATACGTCTATGACCCAACTCAACGATATTATTTAAATATATTTTATTATAATTAATGAATTTTAATTGGAAGCTTTCTCAGCTCATTAGTTAAAGGCCTTAGAAGGAAGTCCTTCCCATTCAAAATTGCGCCAAACAGACTCGCGCATAAATAATCCGGCTGACTCGATTGGCAAAAAAATCTGTTTTTAGGATACGATTGTTAGGTTTAACGCAGAGCCCTATTACAAAATCTGCAATGATACATTATTATGATGTTAGTTGAATTTAATATAATTCAGAAATATTTGTAGAAAGAGAATGACAATGATAAATTTATTACAGTGCTATATACGCATACGTATATTGAATAAAGAAATTAAAGAAAAATACATAGCTCTGGCTTAGGCGTCAGCCCTCCATTAATATTGAACATTGATTTAAAAAAACACGATTTCAATTGAATATAGTTTTATAATAAAGAATAAAAGGCAAATCTTTAATATCCTGAAATTTCTCTCCCTTTCACCATTTTTTTCTAACCCATCATAATATTACTTCGAAAGGGTCTAGTTATTTCCGAGAGTATAGCAATCTACATCCATCATATCTCACGAACCACGGAGAAAGTCTAATAGTGTTTACAATTTTATCGTTTTTTTAATATAATGCATGTCTGGATAAATTACTCTATTCTTTTAACAGTATATCTGACTTTTTCACTAATTAAATTTCTTAATTGGTATGGAATATTTGACTAATAATAGTACTCTTTAACAAGGTTCTATAGAACTAGGTAGGGACAGTTTAAAATATATTATTTAAATGCAATACTTAATTATATACACTCAGTTTAAAAATATGAAACATCCTATTAGCCTCGATACCAGTGTTACCAAGTGAAACCTAAGAGACAGTATACCCCATATCGTCCTTAAGGCAATGAGTCTTCTCACAAAATAATACCTCTGCTTCAATGAAGCAATTAAATATTAAGAATTTTTAAAAAAATAAAATACTAATCTTTACCAATTACAATATAGATATCGAAAATAATTCAAATTATAGAAAAATTTTTAACACCCACTTGTGGCAAATGCCTCAAGTGTTTATCATGATAGAATTTACTGAGGTATTGGCTTCAGACTCCCCGGTTATAGGAACCACTTCTAATAGAAGGGAAAGTAGATATTAGAGGCCTAATTCGATTAAGTATCCTAATATAAACAATATGATTCTAATCTAAAAAAAATTTAATTCTGAAGTCAAATCTAGTGGTGGCAGAAAAATAGGTATTCAAGCTTCTAATTAAAATTTCTATTTGTAAGAGTTTTACTCAAATTACTATAAATCTTTACTTCTAATTTTGTTTTTATTTGGTCACATTAAATAGGGGTTTCTGAGTTCAAAATCGTTTTTTAAAATTTTATAATAGTAGTTGATGGCAGTAAGCATATTGTAAAACATATCTTTAACGTTTTATAGCCTCTAAGTTAGCTATTTCTATCGTATTAAAGCATATTTCTTGAAATTTTAGTCAAAACACTTAAAAATGATATAGATTTAGAGGCCTAAAAATGCTCTTAAAATCATATTTAGCGTTGAATTTTCTTTCTGGAAGGATGTATGGTTATTTTTTCTTGATACTGTTACAAAAAAAATTAAGAAAATTGACTTTTAAATTGGTCATACTATCGATTAAAGCAGATTTAACTAACACAAAATTTGGCCAGGCCTTTGTTAAATAAATACAAAAAAAAATTCTCAAATTTTTTTTTTAAAAATTATATTAAAAATTTAAAGGGGTTTCGGAAAGGTTCGAAGTTGTGTATAAATTGGTACTAAATGTATAAATATTTTAAAATTATTAAAAATTTTATTGTGAAATAAAGTTATTTTTGATTATTTATAAATTATTTTATTAAAATTAATCTAGTAAACTTTAAAAATAAGAACGCAAAGTGGTATTTTATTTTTTACTTCAGCTACAATTATAAGGATTGGCTCTACTGAATATGGCTATTGAAACGAATGCTATCAATGGAGAAACTAACAATTCCCATGCAAATGCCTCCAATTCACCAACTTGCGCCGATAATAAATCCAAAACGTTGAAAAGTGTCAATGATAAGAAAAATAAGAGTAAATTTATTCATGGTGGAAGCAGAAAGAAACCTAATGTGAATAGACTGAGTTCCAATTTAAAATCTAAGAAGCCTAGTACTAAAGCTAAACATAACGATGATAGCGTTGATAATAATGAAGTTACATTTAATGTGGGTAATACTAATGGTAATAAAATAACTCATTCTAGTGCAACCAAATCCAAAAAAAATTTGAATAGAAAAAGAGTTGCGATAAAAACTAAAGCGATTAAAAAAGATAGCACTACTTATCATCCACCATACAACACAATGATTCTACAAGCTGTTAGTGATCTCTTGGAAAAAGGTGGAGCCTCGATTTCTAAGCAAGCCATAGTTAAATATATTCTTCAGAATTATGAATTGGGAATAGACATGAAATCTATTAACTCTCGCATGAAAATAGCTATAAAGCGATGCGTGGAAAGCCAGACAATTAAACAGGTATTATATTAATAAATTGGAATTTATCTTAAACTAGTCTAACTTACTCAAGGATAATTAAAGAAATATAATCCTATATTGTTGTTATCCATAAGGATTCGGGATTTTTCATTTTTAAATTATTTACTGAGGGCCATTTTTCAAATCTAAGGGAACCTAATTTGACCGGAAGTATATTCTAACATGTGTAGGTTCCACCTCAAATTTTATCGTGAACATTTGAATTCCTTTTAATTACTATTAATCTTGCAGTTTTCATATAAATTAAAAAATTGTCTGAAATACAACATGTAACTCTAACCGGGAAAATAATTTTAAATGGCGACTTCAGTAAATAATTTGAAATTAAGGGATTCCTAATCACTATGGATTTCATCCTAATGCAACTTAAGGCTGGGAAAATTTGATTGAATATAAATATCTTAAGCTAAAATTAAGCAAGAGGCATTCAGATAGTATTTATATTTTGTGTTTATGGCCATATTTTCAATATATAATCATAAGATGAAAAATATCTTAGGCTTTATTAAAATTATTTGGGCTTAATTTGATGAAAAATCTTTGTAGATTTTTGGTTTGGGAAGCAAATATTTAATTTCTCTACTCTTCCGCCCTGGGAAGACTCAACCTTGGCATTATTTATTATAAAATTGATTTTTTTAATCATTTATAAATAAATACTGACGGGTCTGTGCTCGGGGTTCGTGCTCAGAACTGGTTTAGTCGATATTTTCGACCCAAACACCGGGTCTGGTCTCTACACAACCAACCAATTAACAACACTACATCAGATAGTATTTATATTTTGTGTTTATGGCCATATTTTCAATATATAATCATAAGATGAAAAATATCTTAGGCTTTATTAAAATTATTTGGGCTTAATTTGATGAAAAATCTTTGTAGATTTTTGGTTTGGGAAGCAAATATTTAATTTCCCTACTCTTCCGCCCTGGGAAGACTCAACCTTGGCATTATTTATTATAAAATTGATTTTTTTAATCATTTATAAATAAATACTGAATCTCTATTTTAAATCAAGATTAGTGGAAGTGGCGCAACGGGTTCTTTTAGGCTTAATGACTCAAAACCAGTTCAACCCCATTACAGCAGTAGCTCACGAGGGAAAATGACTTTATCCTCTCCAAAAAAAGTTGTTAAAAAGCCCAAAAAATTATCCCCATCGAAACCGATTCCTGTGGTGGATAAAACTCAAAACTCTTCTCGTATTAGTAACCTTTCAAAATCATCAAAATTTACTAAAAATAAGAGTAAAAGGAAATCTAGTGAGTCATTATATTGATATAAATCTTATAATGCTAGAGACTTTGAATAAATTCCCATTCCTTTAATTTTAAAATGTTTATTTTCAAATTTAGTTCCTTCTTATAATTCCAGTAAACAATAATTAGACCCTTCGAAAATGAGGTAGTTGCAGTGGCGTAGACAAAGGGTGTTGGGGTTGAACCATCCTTATAACCCCCTCCCCCAATAGAATTTATATCTTTATATTTCTATTAAAAAAAACTGAAAAGAACAAGCAACATCTATAAAGATCATAGAATCATGAGATTTATAAAGAAATTTTGAAACGGGGAAAAACTTTTATGTATATAGAGTGTAATTGATTTTTGAATCGTAATTTAAAATTTGATATTTAAGAGTCAATCCTAATGCATGCCGTAGTTTTTATTTCGCTTATAACTGGTTTTTATTTATATTGATTAGAAAAATTGATTGATGAATTAGTAGGTAATACATATGTCTTACATATTGTTTCTATGATCTTCAAGCTGTATACATACCAAACAGGTTGGAGCAATAAAATATGAAATACGTACTAATTATTGACATAAATATCAGAGGTAATGTTTCTATATCTTTGGATTACTTTACTTTAAAGTGATATCAGTTTATATTTGGTTACTTTTTTGTGGCTGGCGAAATTGATAAAAGAATTAATAAGTAAGGCACTAGATATTAACGCAAACCAGATAGTTAAAACTCCTATATTCTTCGTTCTGGCATGATGCTAATTTTGAATTTTTTACCAATATTTTTCTTCTCCTTTAAACAATCTACCAAACAAAATAAAACAATAAATGTTCTAATAAATCACATTGGTTTGGTATACGTTTCATATTAACTTCGCTGACGTCTTAGTTTTCATTTTTTTGTGGTTCTCATATTAGTTGAGGATATAAAAGTACTAGTTAGGCACTAAATATCAGCCCTCACCTGATAAATAATTTTTTATATTTTCTATTCTGGCATAACCATTTTTTTTCATTCCATTCTTATCTGAAAATTAAAAACAACAAATTTCACTTATTCTATTTCCATTTTTTCGATTCTTAGAAAATATTTCTAGGGAAATATTATTCAACTAATCATTAAAGCGAAGGCCGTAGAAAAAATTTATATACCAAAATTTTTTTTTTAAAGAAATTGGGCAGGCATTTTTTTTCAATCTCCAGGTCTGATAAATATACAACTAAATAAAACAATATATTTTTGGAATTTTATATAAAATATAAAAATGTATTCTTTGAAATATTATTTATTTCGTTTTTTTTGTTTAAACTGGAATAATATTCTTAAATCATACTTTCTTTTCTCCAAAACCTTAAGCGTTCCAAATTAGTTTATTTCGTTCTAAGTCTATAAATATAGTGTATTATGAAAATTTACCAATATTTTTACTATTATATTTAAAGATACCAAAGTGACTATTAAAAGTAGTAATACTCTCCAGAAATCAACCAAATCAGCTGGGAAAGACAAAAAACACCCTTCAAAATCGAATAAATCAAGAAAATAACAAAAATCATTATTTGATTAGCATATTTTTAAATTATTCTATGGAGACCTTATTAAATTTTATGTAAACAATAATATTCTTATAAAAAAATTTATATTTTATTCTAGGGGTTAGTATAATATTTAAAAATTAGAAAAACAACCTTAATGAATTAAGCCTTATAAGTCAATGAATAATTGATATAATACTGTTTGTTTTAATAGTTTTCTGAAAATCCAACATGATATGGAATTTAAAGACACATAATGTAATTATTTTCGAAATGAAATATTCTATTTAAGTTTAAAAAAATTAGACAAATCAACAATTGAGTAAAAAGTTATATCTGCTTCACTGAAATATTTTAAAAAAATGATTGCTAAATCAAATTGCACGAGTAGAGGATCAAAATTTTCAATAATGCTTATTAAGTTCATAGCAAACCAATCATTTATTTCTTTCCTCGAAACGCGTTTATTACTAATTATTGTGTTATCTCACAAATCAGATTTAATCGCTTAATACTAATTCGATTTATCTGAACAATAATTCAATTATTGTCCATATCTCTTTTTAAAATGAATTGTCTACGAATTAGTAAATTAACTTTTTTACTTAATAAGTAAATTTCGAAGTAACTTCTGAAGATTAGAATTTCACGTTTTAGAAATATCTCCAAATCTTGCCTTTTTAGCTAGAAAGTTAAAGTATATTTTTTTAAGTGTTTTTTCTATTTCCTCGTAACTCCTCAATCGAATAATCTATAAATTTTTATTTGCGATGTCCTAATTAATGAGTAAACGCTTTCCACGAGTCAGACGCATCCTAAGTTCTCAAATTCCAACTATTATAATGATTATAAATAAAATTAATATATAAAACAATTATAGTATGTCTTCAATGTAATCTTAAATAAATTTATAATTTTAATAGGGAGATAATGTCTAAATAGTCATTTTCAATATTTATTATTACTAAATATAACATTTCTTGTCCTATAATTTCCACTTGTAACATTAAATTCGTTTAACTGATTGTGAAGCAGTGCCCTCTATTTCCCTATCACGGAACGAGATCTTCGTAAGGAAGTACCCTTGGACATACGCAGCACTCGTAAACCTATGTCAACTTTTAAATAACTGATTTCTTAATCTAGTTTGCTTTCCATAATATTATGCAGTGAAAGGTGAAATAAAATGGATAGTTAGCTAATGCGATATCTCACATTCACTACTACCATAAGTTATATAGTGTAAAAGTATCATTAAATTTAGAATTATGCAAATGACGAATTCACCATTTTGTGAATTGTTCAAAATTTAAATTTTTTACGGAGAGCTTAATTTATAAACAGAACTGTTGCATGTTGGTAACATATAAAAATGTTTTATTTCAATTTAATGTTTTAAAGGCGTTAATGTCTTATTATAATATATTTCTTCATTTATTTTTGTCTAAAGCGTTAATATACATGTACATTTAAATGTTCTGTTTAAGGCAATAATTATAGATCGTGTTATGTAAATTGGACATTTAGTTTTATTAAATTATATTTAATTTTGATATGTATTTTAAATGAAAAGATATAGAAAGAAAATTTTTTCTTAAAGATAAAACCTTTTCTGTAAATAAATTCCATCATTATCGATTCTGTATCACAAGACCGTTATTAACAACATATTCCAAGATTTTTATCAACCAATTCTCAGTGCAAGACCACCCCATTTGCATTAAGAACAAAGCTCCATAATATTTTTTAATACCATCTGGAGTAAAATATAGATTTATTTGATACAACATTAAAACATTTCGCTGGTTGCAGAGCCAGTAAGATTAATGCAAACCAGTTTCATTTTTTAAGAAATAAAATTCAAATCTTAGATATTACTCTGTTGCAGGCGCGTATGCAGCGAGAGGAAGTGGACAAATCTTTCCCCCCCCCCCAAGCCAAAAAATGCAGATGCCGGATATATTTTTCTAAAGTATTGTTTATATTAATCTATATTTTATAATATTTATTCTTATCTCTTTCTTGTTAAAAATATATTTAATTACATTTAATTATCATTCATTTACTAATTTATTTTATCATTAATTTCGATTTCAAGTTTTCCTTAGCAAAATTATCTATTATTGTTAAATTTCTAGTGGCGTAATATTTAACTACTGTAGTGTCTTTTTAATAATAATGGAAATATATAAATTTTTTGTATTGTATTTTTTGTAGTAATAGAATTCTCGCAATTTTATTTTATCTCAAAAATAATAATCTAATTTTTTGTTATTCAAATTCATATGATAATATAAAATAATGGAAATAAACATTTTATAAAAAATACAAAAATAACAAATCAACAATTTATTATATATCATTTATCCACAATCTATTGGGTTTCGTTCGTATTCCTTTCGGATAACGATCTTGACTTGTAATTTCTTCCTCCCTCTCCTTTAGATTCATTTCATCGTTATTGCTTATTATATTATGTCCTCTTTGTTTACTCTCTCTTCGGTTCTCTTTTCTACTTCGGGTCTCTCTTCTACTTCGGGTCTCTCTTCTAATTCGTATTCTTCAGTTAATATATTTTGGGTTCTTTTCCTTAATTTTTCAGTATGACGTATAATCGTTTTACCCTCTATACTTACTTCATATCGTAGTGATCCGAGTATGCTTCTAATAAAGGCTTTTTCCCATTTTTTTTTCTTTATTATTGTAAATGCGCGACAACACTTTTACATTTATCTAGAATTTTTGAGTGTAATATCTAACTTCTCCTTTTTGTTCCGTTCAAATATTTGGTCTAACAATCCTCTAGGTTTAATTTTTAGTAGTATTTCAGCAGAACTTTGTTTATTTTCTGCCCCTGGTGTATTTTGTAATTGTAGAGAAAAATAGTTAGACTGGTTTCTAAATCCCCCTCATTTATTTTATTCATGCTCTGTTTAAAAATTCGAACTAAACGTTCGGTCATGGCATTTGTCTGAGGATGGTAAGGACTTCCGTGCGCTAATTGTATTCCGTTTTTTTTCGCAGAGATCATGGAATTCTCTGCTGCTAAATTGTGGCTTTATCAGAAACGATTATCTTAGGAAATCCGAATCAAAAAATATTTATTAATATTTTTATCGTGCTTTCGGTTGTAGTACCAGTCATGGGAACTATTTCTGGCCAGCAACTGCTAGTATCTATCACTACCAACCAATAATGATTTTGAAATGGTCCAGCATAATCAATATGTACTCGGTGCCATGCTTTTGGTGGTTTTGGCCAATTTTGAATTGATGTCTTTTGAGGCATATCATGTTGTTCATGGCATTCTCTACATTTTTCGACCCATGAGCTTGGTTTATATTTGACCACCACGCGTATTGTCTTGCTCTCATCTTCATTTTTACCATTTCAATATGTCTTAGATGTATCATGTCTAACACGTTGTTATGGTATTATCATTTTAGTTCTCCACAATAAACAACCTCTCTGTTGTAACTTCCTCTCTCCTTTGGTTATACTCCTTTAAACATGCATCATAGTTTATTGGTCATCCGTCTATTGTATACCTGTATACTTTAGAGAGTACATCATATCGCATTGTTTCTCTTTCAATTTCGCTTGCATTTAAAGGTGTTTGTTCTCCCACCTGTATTTGATCTAGTGTTTCTTATTTTGTTATTGGGGTTCCCTTTATAGGTAATCGAAATAGCATGTCAGTATTGGCTAGTTGTCGACTACTTTTAAATCTATTTCATATTGGTAACCTGCTAATAATAAAGCCCATCTTTGTATTCTGGCAGTAGATGTTGTTGGAATATCTTTTCTTAGATGAAATAAACTCATTAATGGCTTGTGGTCTATTTGTAATGTGAACTTTTTTCCATATATAAATTCTTTAAATTTTGTAACCCCAAATATGATGGCAAGAGCTTCTCTTTCTATTTGGCTATTGCAAAATTTGAAATAAATTTTGAATAGTATGTAGGTGACCCTAGAAATGACTGTAATTGTTTCAAGTTTGTTGGTTCTGGTGCTTTTTTTACTGTCTTAATATTTTTTTCGGTAGTTGTAATCCCGTTTTTTGAAATTTGGTGTCCTAAGTACTCGATATCTTGTCTGAAAAATTTACATTTTTCTATTTCTAGCCTGATTCCATTTTCATCTAGAAATTTTAGTAACTTTTTAAAATTTGTCGTGCTTCTCTATATTTTTCCCTGTTATTATAATATCCTCTAAATAACAAGCTACCCCTTCAAAACCTTTTAATAAATTCTCGATGGCTTGTTGAAATATGGCTGGAGAAGACGATATACCAAAAGGTAGTCTTGTATATTTAAATAATCCTCTATGCGTATTGATTACAAGAGACTCTTCCCCCACTTTAATTTGAAAATAGGCATCTGAAAGATCCAATATTTAAAATTCCTCTCCTTTCCCCAAACTGGCTAATAAATCTTGGATTGTTGGTATTTGGTATGAATCAATATTAATATTTTGATTTATAGTTCTTTTAAAATCCCCGCAAATTTGTAATGTTTTATTGAACAATTACTATGGGTGATGCATTAAATGAATGATTGATTTTTTCTATTACTCCTTATAGCAATCTGTCTAAATCTTCTTCAACTTTATCTTTTAATGTGTATAGTACGGGACGTGATTTACAGAAAATTGGTTTCTCGTTTTTCATATATATTTGTGCCTTAAATTTTTTCAATCACTCTATCCTTTGGTAAATAATTGAGGAAATTTATTTTGTATATTAATTTTATTTATTTGTATGGTCCTTTCAGGTATTTCAGTCATTTTGGGAAATTTAGTTATCCAGTTTCTTCCAATGAGATTTTTGGTATATCCTTTTGTAATTATGAAAGATAGTACTAATGTTAGTCCTTTATATTGTACTTTTACTACAGTCTGACCTAATAGTGGTAAATTGGTTCCTGTATAACTTTTATGTTTTAGCATGCAATTTGTTAATCCTGGACAATTAAGTTTATTTTTCCAATCTATTTCGTTAATTATGCTTACCCCAGCTCCAGTATCTAATTCCATTCTGATATAGCTGTTGTTTATTTTAACATCCATCCGAAATTCTGGATTATATTCGTTTGTTTTATTATTATTAAAATTCACTATTTCTTTTCTGTAGACTCGAGGAATGTGCCCAATTTTGTTGCATTTATAACAAGTGGCTCTTGAAAAAACTATTTTCTCTTCTATGGTTTCCGCCGCAGGAGTGGTAGGGATTTAGTTTTTTGTAACTCGTATTATAATTATTATATGACTTGTAATGTTTATTATTATCATTATTAACTTTTTTAATTTTATTTATATTATCATTATGTTCCTCTTCTAATTGATCGATTTTAGTTTCATCATTTTGTATTTATTTTGTATTTTTTATAGCTGTTTCTACTGCAGTAGCTATTTGAATAGCTTTATTTATGTCGATATCATCTTCAGATAATAATCTTTGTAAAATTTTAGGAATTTTTATTCCGAAAATAAATTTATCTCATAATGCAGTATTTAAATATTCCCCAAATTCACAAGTCGTTGCTAATTTTTGAAGATTTTGTATATAGTCTATTAATTTTTCCTCATTTTTTTGATTATATTGATAAAAATTATATCTTTCTACAATTATATTAGGAGTAGGATGAAAAAATTTGAGTAAAATGTTATGTATTTTTAATACCTCTTTATTTTCTGGATTATATGGTGCGCATAAATTTACCAATATTTTTAAGTATCACATCCTATTGTTGTTAATAACTGAGATTTTTCTTGTGATGATGTTAACCTTGATTGTGTGTTTTTAAATTCTTTAAATAAGTCGTACCAATCTTTGTAACACAAGTTTGAATCCGTTAAATTTTTATCGATTGCGCCATTTTTGTAGTGTCTTTTTAATAATAATGGAAATATATAAATCTTTTGTATTGTATTTTTTGTAGTAATAGAATTCTCGCAATTATATTTTATATAAATAATAATAATAATCTAATTTTTTGTTATTCAAATTCTTATAATAATATATAATAATAAAAATAAACATTTTACAAAAAATACAAAAATAACAAAACAACTATTCAATATATATCATCTACCATTTTCAAATTTCTAGTCAAATAATAAATATGGACATACGAAATATTTTTGAACATATAGATGATGATGAAAATACAAGTCATCTTACAAAAAGGTACAAATTATTTTATAACATTGTGGGAAATTCAGTGGGCTTCAGACATTTATAAAAAAATGTCCAATAGCTATATATATCACTGTGCTGCTCATGCGATCAACTTGGCAATATCTTATTCATGTTCTTTACCATTGATATCAAATTGCTAGGTATAATTTTATTTATTTTAAATAATTTTTTTTATATTTATATCAGGAAAAATATCTAGGATCTATGAAATGTTTAGATACCCCAGGCGACAAAATATTGTAAATAAAATTATATCTGAAACTCCTTGTCCACAAGGAGAAAGAAATTGCAAAAAGCTTGTCTAACAAAATGGAGTCTTCGCCATCACGCTGTAACGGCTTTTATAGAGTTAGAAGAGCGGATTATTAATGCTATTACTGAAAGATCACAATGGCCTGAAAGAGATATTTCCTCAGAAACAAGCAAATTATTGGATTCAATTCTTATATCAATTTTTTTTTCCTCATTATAATTTATTAATAAATTATTTAATTATACGACTATTTTATTAATACTTTTCAAAAACATGACATTGACTTGATTGAGACGATGAGAATAGCGGCGAACATTTTATTAGAACTCAAGGAAATTATGGCTTATGTTGATGAAGAATTACATATTTTATATGTTATTGTTGAGTCAAAAGCAGAACTATACGAGTTTAATATTTGTCTCCCTTGACTTGCAGCAAGGCAAGCTCATCGTTCAAACATTAATAGGTCAGTAGAAGAGTATTATAAAATAAATGCCGTTATTTTATATTAGATTCATTTATAACCCAAATAAACGAAGGGTTATTAATTCATCGGGCACTAACCAATCTCCAGATATTACTTCCACAAAAGCCTTTCTAACCTTTTCAGATGGTGATAGAAAAAAAAAATATTTGGCAGATTTTTATCATGAAGATGTTAAAGTATCTTATGACGCCTTATTGAATGCCAACTATGGTATAAAAGATTAACTATATTTAGTCCCAAAAGATGCAATGGATGCTTTGCATCATTTCAAACATCTTTTAAATTATCTTCCCAATGTATTAAATTTATTATATATATTAGCAACTCTTCCCATTAGTACTCAACTAATAAGAGAACATTCTCTTCTTTAAGAAGAATAAAAACATATCTAAGAAGAAAAAATTTTAAAAGTAGATTGATTGGTTTAGCCCTTGAATATTAATAGGTATTTGAAGCCAAGCACGGATGAGATAATTGAAAAATTAGCTAAATACCAACGAAGATTGGATTTTACATTATAAATATATAATATGCTTCTTAATAATATTTTTTGTGCAATTTTATTTTTTAATGTGTTATATACTTTTTAATGTATACTTTATAAGTTATTACATACAAAATACAATATTTATATTTCCAACATTTAAATTTTTTATACTTTATACATAAATTTTAAAGGCTCAGCTCAAAAAAATTAAATTTCTATTTTGGGTCATTTATTTTATAGTGATTCATATGCTGGTTCAGTGGCGTAGCTAGGAATTTTCCTTAGAGGGGGTCCATACATATAAAAGCTGGGGGCTTCGCCCCCAGACCCCTTTTAACGGGCCTTCGGCCGGGTTTATCTTACAAATCATAACCATATCTTCGATAATATATAATAAATATATTTTTTAAATGCATCAATAATATGTTATTATAATTTAGTAGATTATTCTCAATGACTTTATAATAATACTATACAGAATTATTTCAATAGTAATATAATTGATATAAAATCACTTTTAAGTCTTTTGAACGTAGGGGAGACCGGGGTAAAGCGATTGACGGGGTAACAATGTTAACGCGAATAACTTTTTAACCATTGAGTATAAAGACCTAAAATTTGGTGTGAAGATGTATTTTTATATCTAATTTCTTACCTATGTTCATCTTTCAAAAAACTTACCTGGTTTTATATATTTTGTCAAAAAACTGTTTTTTACCCAAAAAATATAAAAATCAATCTCTAGTATATTTTGCTTTTAGTAAAATTTACATATCCTCAGGATTCAAAATTTGGCACACATGTTCCTTTATGTATTAACTATAAAATAAAATTTATCTGACATCTTTAGCTATATTAGAAGTCACGCAATAACGATATATATAATATATGTCACCTAGGGGTAAAGCTGTTATGGGTAAAACGGTTAAAATATAAAATTATTCACATTAAATTTTTCATTCATTCATTTATTATAATCAAATAAATATTGATATTTAATATTAAAGTTACCAATTGAGCATTATTAAAATTATGAAATTAATTCAATTTATTTAATTAATTATATATCATTTTAACTCTATGGAACTGGTATTGTTAATTATTAAAATGAAATTGTTTTATTTTATAAATAAACAAGATAAGAGGATTTGCATATCAGCTTGCTAAAGAATATGGCAAATCTTTCCCAGAAAGCTGGACAACTAATGGTATGGCTGGAGAGGACTAGTTTATGGGGTTTAGAAAACGACAAATCCCACAAATGTCAATAAATTTTTTGAAAATTTAATTAAGCTATATAATTCTTATAACTTTGAACCACATAATATACAGATAAAAGTGGTTTCACCACCGTTCAAACTCCTGCAGAAATTATAGCACAGAAGGGTGCCAAACAAGTCGGCTCTATAACGTCAGGAGAAAGAGGAACATTAGTTACAATATGTTTAGCCATCAATGCTATAGGCCATAGCATTCCACCATTTTTTATTTTTCCAAGAAAACGATACAAAGATCACTTTATTCGTGATGGGCCTATTGGATCTAAGGGTGTGGGAAACGCATCGGGTTGGATGCAAGAGGAGGAATTTTTATCTTTTTTGGAACACTTTAAAAAATATTCTAGTGCATCCAATGAGAAAAATGTCTTATTAATCTTAGATAACCATAGCTCTCATTGTTCAATTTCCGTTATAAACTATTGTCGCTCCAATGGGATTGTTATTCTAACACTTCCACCACATTGCTCGCATAAACTCCAACCATTAGACAAAGCAGTTTATGAACCATTGAAAAAGTTTTATAATGGAGCTATTGACACATGGATGAGAAATCATGTGGGCAACAATTTCAGATTTATGATATTCCAGGAGTGTTAAAAAATGAAATACCAAGGGCAGTGACACCAAATAATATATTAAATGGGTTGTTAGCATGTGGCATATTTCCTTTAAACCCAAATATATTTACAGAACAAGATTATATCTGCTGTAATAATTCAAATGCTAGCTCAAATATTGAATTTGAAAATAATGATGAAAATATTACAGTGACTCAAAATCTTACAGTGACTCAAAATCTTACAGTGACTCAAAATCTTACAGTGACACAAAATAATGATAGTGATTTATCTATATTATTAAACGAAAATGTTCCAGATGATATTGATGAACCTTATCATGATATGTTACCATCATGCTCAAAAAATTATAATAAAGTATTCAATTCTTCATCTATAATACCTATTCCAAAATTATTCAATATTTCATCGGATAAAATATCTAAAAAAAAGAATTCAGAAATATTAACATCTACACCTTATAAAAAAAAATTATTAATTCAGAGAAAAAAAAAGATATCAAAAAATAATTGTTTATGTGTTATTTGTAATAAAAACTATAAAAATAGTCGCAAGGGCGATGAATGGCTAAAATGTACAATGTGCCTTGAATGGGCACATTCTAAATGTGCTAATTATGATAATTATTTTACATGTCCTTGTTGTATCGATTAATTTTTAAATAAAAATCATAAATAAATCTTAAATTTGTAATATTTGTTAAATAAAACAATAAATATGTGTCAAATATTATTTTAACCACTTTACCCTAGTGCTTATCCATTTTACCCTGTATGAGTAGTTTTACATAACTAATCATAGCTCCTAAAATATTATAGATAGAGGGCTACACTTTTTTTTATCTTGTAGAAGAGGGATGGGGCTACACATTGATCTATAATTTGTTGTGTTTGACTCTTGTTTAAAATTTTTATGGTAAATATGCAAAATGCCTATCGTTTTACCCCGGTCTCCCCTATAATCTAAAAGAAAAATTTGCTCTGGGAGGGGTCCAAACCCGAAAACCACCCCCGTAGCTACGCCACTGTGTGCTGGTTATATTTACTTAATATTTTATAAATTCACATTTATTTTATGTTTTTCATATGCCGCCGGTTATATCCGTTTAATATTTTTTAATTCACATTTATTTTAGTTTTTTATATGCCGGTTCATATATCTAATATTTTTATAATTCACATTAATTTAAAATTGTTTATTAGAAATAGTTATTAGTCCTAATAAATTTTATGCTTTATATTTTTAAATAACTAATTTTATCTTAAAAAAAATTAAATTATCTCCCCCCCCCCCTTACAGCCAATTCCTGCGTACGCGCCTGCTCTGTTTTATTAATTAATTTGCAAAAATCTACTAAAATTATCCCTTGGAATCGTATGGCGGCTTTTCTGTCAATATAATCAAAATATAAATATATTTTTTATATGATTCTTAATGTATTTCTCAGTTAGTTTACAGATTGCAATATCTAAATTCCAGGTGAGGGATTGGAGTGTTATTTGCTTGAATATAGCTTCCAGATGGTAGGCAGTTTGCTCCTTGTGGGTAAAACGTTTAATTATTTTATTTTCTATATAATAGGAATTACATTTTTTTTTAAAATTTTATATTGGAGTAGAGGATAGAAGGGATACTAGTCTTTACAATCTAAGGAGGCTCAAAAATTTTTTTTTAATTATTTTCAAAGTTGCCTTTATTGGCTAACATTATCCAAAATTACTTTCTTTTTTTTTTGACTATCATTATCTTAATACATTTTTTAGCTAAAATTATCTGTTATTACTTTTTTTTAAGTAGTATAAAAGAAAAATTCAAAATTTTAAAGGGACTCTACAAATTTACTCGAGCCCCTCCCCAGTGGCACTACTGGTAGGGGGTAAATAATAAATCGAGTGTTAAATCTTATTTTTCTCAAGACATTAGCAGATTTTAGCAGGTTTTAAAAAAAATCATTTTTGAGAAAAAAATCTTTGAAGATGAAAATGTGTGAAATTTTTTTAAAAGATCTTTGAAGATTTTTGAATTTGAGCAAATGTTAAAACCTGGATTTTAGTAATAGAACTATCATCTGCTTTGTTCCTAAATTTTGTATCCTTAAAATATTTTCTAACATATAAAAATAATTTACAAATCATTTATAAATAATATCTACCTTAACACAATTTATGCTTGGCCATGTTTTTAAAAATAATTTGGAGAGAGGAGGGGAGTAGAAGGTATATGAAAATATATGTTCTAAATAATATTGAAGAGTGGTACCTTAATGATTGTGATGCTATTTATTAATAATAAAACCTAATCCCCATAGGATGCAAATGAAATTGAGGAGGGTTAGAGATTCTATCAGCAAATGCATATTCATGCCGAACCATACTACAATAATTGATTCATAGCAAATGACAGGTTATGAAGGGTTCACTATTATAATTAAAAAAATATAATTTAATGAGAAATTTTTTTATGGGGGAGGGTATTATTTTTGAGGGGAGTTTGCTTCCCGTAAATATCTTTTAATGTAGACGCTGGGTATCTGTTACGTTATAATCTAATTCTTTTTGTTTTTTGCATTTGAATTTTTTGTAATCTAATTTTTATTATTTTTTGTAATTTAATTTAATAACTTTATTGCGTAACCTTATTTTTATAACTTTCGGCGTAACCTTACTTTTTATATTTTGTAATATTTTTACTTTTTTGTTTTTCTTTTGTATTCTAATTTGGACTTATAAAAATGTATATATACCTTAAGAAAAGAAAAAGAAATTAGTTAATAAAATATATTTTTACTGACTCGCACCTCGCGCCATATCGTTAAGATCCTTATTCTTTTCATGGTGCCCTGGCTCTGGGTGGTGGACTAGAAAAAGATGACTACCTAATCTTCTGAGATGACTATCTAACCTATGGAGACTGCTTAACCTATGGAGATGACTACCTATTATGACTACCTTATCTATTGTGACTACCTTATCTATTGTGACTACCTTATCTATTGTGACTACCTAATCTACTGAGATGACTATCTAACCTATGGAGACTGCTTAACATATGGAGATGACTACCTATTATGACTACCTTATTTATTGTGACTGCCTAATCTATTGATATGACCAATGCCTAATCTATGTAGATGACCAAGAATCAAACCTTAGCACGTTATTTCATGCAAAAAGCTTCTTTTCTCATGGTGTCCTGGCTCTGGATGTTGGACTGGAATATGATAACCAGCACCTAACCTAATGTGACAACCTAGAAAGAACTGATATGGAAGTTGAACGATAGGTTATGAATTCTATTTTGTGAGACCAATGATGATTACTTATTATTCTAATCCACGTAGGAAGAAAAGTTATTAAAAATTAAGATTTTATGCCAGGATAAAGGCATGTTATAAATTTTTAAAATCACTAAAATGTAAAATCATAATGGATATATTTGAACACACAAAAAGCCTTTAAAAAATTATTTATAATTTCTTAGTGAAATATTGATACTAAAATGTAAAATCATAATGGATATATTTGAACACACAAAAAGCCTATAAAAATAATTTACTTAAATTTTTAGTGAAATATTATTTTTTGATTTCTTGAATGATGAATTGTTGTAAATTAACAACTAATCCTAAAGATGAATTCTTAGATATAATTAAAAATAAACCATTAAAAATCCTAAACAAGAAGATAAAACTTTAATTTTAAATGTATTAAAATGTAATCAAAACATATGAATTAAAAGGTTTAAATCACATGATTGATTTAAATAATCCTTAATGCTTAATATGATAAAAATGTTTTTGAAATAAAGCTTTTGAAGATTAGATAAATATTTAAATGATGTGATGAGATCATTTTCTAAAAATTATCTTATGAAGAATTTTTATTAAAATAACACTTTTTGAATTAAAACTAGGGTGTGAAATTTAAATTTTTTATTTAAAGAGAGAGAAATGTGAATAATATTTTATTTGCATATTTTAACCTCGGAGATTGAAAATAAATAAAAATAAATTAAATACTAAAACGCAAAAATTAATTAAACACTAAAACGCGAAAAAATAAAACGCGAAAAATTAAAACGCTAAAAATATAACAATCTTATTTATTTATCATTCTTCACTTATTTTTATATTTTGATGAACTATTATTTCTTATTATTCGCAACTTACTGATGATAATAACGATTTTGAAAAATGATAATAATAACAATGTCACGATTTGTAAAACATTCGATATGGATATCTAGCTCACGATTTAAACAAAAACGAACAAACAATGATTTGGACAAGCCAACGATTAGTGACTTATGCAACATTGACAACCAAAACGATAAACCACTTGGACAACAAACTCTCTGTGACTTCTCCGATGTAATTATCAGAAGATGGAAAATGTTACGTTATAATCTAATTCTTTTTATTTTTTGCATTTGAATTTTTTGTAATATTATTTTTTGTAATTTAATTTAATAATTTTATTGCATAACCTTATATTTATAACTTTTGGCGTAACCTTACTTTTTATATTTTATAATATTTTTACTTTTTTGTTTTTCGTTTGTATTCTAATTTGGACTTATAAAAATGTATATATACCTTAAGAAAAGAAAAAGAAATTAGTTAATAAAATATATTTTTACTGACTCGCACCTCGCGCCATATCGTTAGTTGCCTTATTCTTTGCAGTATCCATATTAATAATATTAAAACAAAATATCTGAACCTCTGTTATTAGTTTATACATAATGGACGATAAAAAAAATACAAACAGAATACATAATTTTATTACAAACCAAACAAGATAAAACACCATATTTTGTATAGACAAAAAAACATGGATTCAAACTTAACCGTTATATTTACTGACCCTAACCCATTAAAAAGTATGCCTGTGAACCAGGTTAAACTCTTTTATTTTATAATTCTTTTAGAATAGTAATCAATTTTGACTGATAAATCTGTAATTATATTTGGATATTTTTGTATATTGTTATTTAAGAGTGTCGGCTGCCCAAATTAACATAAGGAAGAGTTTTCAGTTATAATTTATTCTTCTTCCTTATATCTTTACCAGAAATGTGATTTTTATCTGAACCGAACCGATATTCCTTATGGTTTGAATCTCTGCAATCTAAAAAAATATATTAATCAAAAAACGGTAGATAAATATAACAGGTCTAAGATTAAAAAGACCAATTATAGAGTAGAGTTGATACATATTTAAAAAATGATTTAATAATTTAGTCATTATTAATTTGCTAAACAACCCAAGAGAACATATGTTCTATTTTTGAAATTATCAATCCATTTACACCTGTTTTAATGCAGAATGTGTTTTTCAAAAAGTTGAAAATATATATTTTTTCAATCTGTGGTTATAATTAGCTTAAATTCAATAATATATTGATTATTATAATAAAGCATTAGATAAATTTAGAAAGTTTTTTTTTTATTTAGGCAGAATTATTGTTTTATAATAAAATATGTAAATATTTTATAAAGCTATTCCCTTCATGGTCAAATCAAATATTGGATAAAATCATATGAATATTCTACCAAATCAAAGGAAAAACAATTTAGAGTAAATTAAAGTGTGATTTAATTTAAACTTATATTCTAGGAAAGCAAGTCTTTTATCAAAAATCTCTTTAGGGGTAAAATTGTAACAGATCAAATATATCCTTACCCTCAAAGTATATTTATATAACTTTATAACATAATATTTTTTCCATAGTTTTGAATGAAGATCAAAAAGATACATTGAAGATGTTAATTGATCCAACAACAAAATTTTTAACTGTATATTTATTATATTGATAGTATTTTAATTGGTCAAATACCAGATATGATATAGAAAGGGGGGAAAAAATTAAGGGATAGAAATAAAATGGAAAATTAGAAATATATATAAGAAATTATATTAAAACCAATATAAATCTTTAGAAATATATTATTAATTTTGCTATATTAAGAAGATGGTTATAAATAGGTTTTATTAGTGATTTATATGATAGAAATTATTAAAGAATGACACAAAAAGATATATACATATTATCTATTGAAAATGTTGCACTAGGGTTTGGAAATAATGCTTGGAGACCTGTTATATTTATTTGAAAAATAATAAATTCTTATTGTTGCAAAAATAACTAGTTTATTTCAATTTTATTAATTAACATTTTATTCAAACTTTGATAATTATGTCACGTCGAAAACTTTTAATAAATTAAGTTTCTTATTTATTTTTAAAAGTTCTTCCCAAGTTCTTAAATAAATATTTATAAAATGGGTTTTACCAATGTTTATTATATTTATACCAAAACTTAAATTAAATTCATAAAATATACTGGATTTTTAATAAATTATAAATTTCTTTTTATTAATAACCCTTAAATCTATAAAATCCCTCAAAAAATACTTAAATAGGTTACACTTATGTCTGGTAATGTGTTGATAATCATTATCTATTAAATTATTTTGTCATTACATTTTATGCTTACTCATCAAAAGTAGAATTATAAATTAATAGAAAAAAATTAACAATACATGATATTTTATGACATGTTATATAAACGATATAAAAAGACCATTTATAAATAAACCAAGAAGCTCATCTTTGTAATAAAAAGAATTTTTCATAGTTGCCATCTTTCAAAATATGGCAGGAGCTATTGGTATATACAACTTTAATGTAATGAACTGCAACAAACATTCCAATGTATACCACATGAGAGATTGAGATTCATAGAAATGATAGATGGGGATATTTTTATAACCTACTTTAGGAGATTGGGATTGGGAGAAACATAAAATGGAAATACTACTTTCGTCCTTTAGACAATAATAAAAATTATTCAATCATCAATAATAATCCACCCAATAAATTTATTTGATATATATTTTGACAATGAAATATTCGAACGTATATATTAAATCAAACAACCAGTGAGTGACCTGATATCGAAGAGAAATTTATTAGTTTATATTTGACTTTCCAGCTATACAATATCCTAAAAAAAGGATTTTTTTTGAACGATAATATCTCGATTCACGATATCATTTGTAAGAAAAATATGAGCCAGCTAAAATTCTGAAATATCAGGAGAAATTTACATCCCTCATATAATTCTATGAATTGTATACGGAAATTAGTTATTGGAATTATATACAATCCAATTAAGAAAAGGTCATTAAATGTTGTCTTGAGAAGTTAGAAAATATTTAATTCAAACGCTTTTGGAATTAAACATGCTAAACGATTATTCCTGCCTAAAAACAAATTTCTAAATCTAATATATAACCAGGGCCGAACCAGAACCCTTCGAACCCTCATTATTTTATCGAACCCAAACCTGAAACTTTTTTTTTAAATTTAGGGTTCAGGGTTTAATAACTTTTTTTAAAATTTTAAGTGTTATTTATTTTAAAATATATATTTAAAATAACATATAAAACTATATTAAAATAAAATATAAAAAATACATGCAAACTATTTAATACATAAAACATAATTTTTTTTTATTATCAATATAAAAAAAATTTTTTTGGTGAAAATTATTGAATCCTTTTTATTATATTTTAGAGTACTCCATAAAAAATTTAATTTTGCCAGCATATTTTGTAACTTTTTTCAAATAATAGATAAGGTAGTGATCTGCATTGGGCCTCATTTTTCAAGCCCGGCCCGGTCCGAAATTATTTTTTTTATAAAGTTTTGCCGGCCCGACCCGAATTTATTTAAATATAGAAATTAATTTTTATAATTATTCAAAGTAAACGATATGTTATATGGCGTCTACTTTCTAGAAATAAAATCACTACATAAAAAATTCAACATAAAATTGATAAATTTAGATATATTTTAAAAAATTTCCAAGGCCCTATCCGACCCGGCCCGAATTTTCTTAAAAAATATTAGGCCCGGCCCTATCTGAAGCCCGTTTGGGTCGGGTACGGGCCGAGCCTTCTTTTGCAGATCTCTAAGATAAGGCATATTTATTTTTGTTGGATTATTAAATTAAAAGTAAGATCAGAGAAAAAAAATGTAATCACAAGGTAAGATAGCTTTATTAATTGCAAGTTGCAATGCACTCTCAAAGTTAGGGATATAATTCTATATTTTAATTTTAACATCTCGATTATGAAAATTATGATAATTCGCTTATATTCTAATTATAATAATAAATTATTTATATGATATGGCCTAAATACAATATAAAGTTCATAAAAAACTGATATTTCTTTATTATTAAATTTTATAAGTTTTTATTTTTCTGGACCACTAACCCTGAACCCAACTAAACCCGAACCTGATTCAGAGATATTTCATTGAGCTAGAACTCTAACCTGAACTTTTTTAGAGAGTTTACGGTCCTGTATATAACACACTCTTCGATATTCTTCATTAGACCGAATTGCTTCCAAAATTATCATTAGTATATTTTCTTATATCGAATTTCATAATATCTTTAGGTTATTGTATATATTTTATTTAAATATATAAAATTAAATAATAAATGCATTTTTTGAAACATATTTTGTTATTTTTCTATGTTGTGTTTATGCAGCAAAAATATTTGATCAAAATTATATGTATTAATATAATTATATTTAAATTTTAGTTGGGTAGTTTAACCTAGACCATTAGTATGCTATAGAAAAACACACATATCAGAATAAAAATAAATAACGATATAATTTTTTTTAATTTTTAATAGAGATAATATTTATCGTCTTTTGGATTTTGATTATACCATATCGAATTTGAATACTCATTAGCGCCATCTAATTAATATTTTCGAGTGGAACTTGTTTCTTTATCATTTTAATTAAATAATGTATAATCAATATTAAGTACAAAGAAAAATAAAAATGTATAACATTATATATTGGAAAATATATAATATATACATTAAAGATGTATCATATAACATTTTTGGCGTAAGAGGTGTCCAGACCGAACCACCCCCCCCCCTCCCATGGCAACGTCACTGATTATTTGTCTAAGCCACAGTGCCATCATTGATGACGCTAAATTTCTCTAAACCCTGCGATCTATATAAACAAAAATAATTTATATAAATCTTATCAAGGAAGTAAATAATCCGGCCCTAAATGACGAGAAGTGCGAAATATCTGAAAAAGTGATGCATGGTTTAAAAGATATGGGAGCCTTCGGATTGCAGATACCTACTAAATATGGTGGACTGGGCTTGAATAATACTCAATATGCTCGAATGGTGGAATGTGTGGGCAGAGGCATGGATATGGGTCTCGGAATCACCCTGGGAGCTCATCAATCTATTGGTTTTTGCTGATTTATTTATGTATCAAATAATTATTTTATTTATTAAACTTCCAAATTGTGGAAATTTTTTTTTAGCCTACTTCGTCTGTCTCATTTTTGTATTCGGATATCTGTAATTTAATCAAACCGCACAACTGTTAAATTTTTATATAGAAGTTAGGGGTTAGATCATCTGTATACGGTTATATGATATATCCTAGAAATCTACATTTTTCATTGTTTAGAACATATTTCTTTGTCAGTTTTTTTGAAAATCTCTTCGTTTTCCGAAAGTTTGGATCTCTCTTGCAAGGAATTAGCTTTCTAATTTTTCTATTTACTTTTATCATAAAATTTGGTTTCTATTTTTTCCATTTTAATTTAGATCCACTCAGATCACGCTTTGTTAGAATGTGTATTTATAATTGAGGTTTTTTTTTTATTGTACTATTAAGTAAAGGCGTTTGACCCAATATAAGTCAAGAACGATTTAAACCCCCTTTTTTTAACATTCCTGTCAGACTCCATTGATAAATTGAATTGATTACATTTTATTATTTAATTTATTTAAAATGAAATTTGATTTTGAATCGATAATTAATTGTTTAATGACAGTTTCTTATTTATACTTATCTTCTAAATTTGTTTATAACTCTTAGACGTTACACATTTTATCGCTTTTGTCATTATATCATCGAGTACCGATCGATGCTTTGATTTTTGCCAATACTATTACCCGATATATTTAATTATTTTTATTCAAATGGTCTTAATGTCTTATTATTTTATCTAGATATCGTCACAGGTGCATTTTCACCTTACTCAGTTTAGTTTATTTTGTTAGTTCTTGCAGGCATTAAAAGTTCCTTGGCATTTATATTTTATCCATACTTATTTAATATTTATTTTGTATATTTCACATATCAATACTTTTCAAAATCGATCACAAAAAAATAGGCCTAAAAGGTATAATTATGTATGGGACCGAAGAACAAAAAGCCAAATACTTGCCCAAGCTGGCAACGGGCGAACATGTGGCAGCATTTTGTTTGACCGAACCATCGGCGGGCTCCGATGCCGCTGCCATTAAAACTACCGCCACTCTTGTTGATACAGAATATGGTAGATTTTTTAAAAATTGACTTTGATTTATTTTTTCTAAAGACCTGCAGGCCACGAATATTTTTAAAAAAAATATTGTCAGGCGCGATAATATTTGATAGAATTTGTTTTTTCTTCTCGTTGGTCCCACCCGGGTTTTTACTCGCCTTTTTCAGGCATAATCCCGGTTTCTGAGCTAATTTTTCCGTTCTATGCTGCAGCTTCTGATTTTTTTATCTGATAAAATGTTTCTTTATACTTAGGTTTAAAATTGATAAATAGTTATTAAATTATTGCTACATATGAACTCAATTAAACAAGCCAGGGATTTATTTTATCCCCCTTAGGAAAAGCTTACAAGCTAAACGGAACTAAATTATGGATAAGTAACGCCGGTTTTGCAGAGATATTCACCGTTTTTGCCAGGCTCAAAGATCCTAGTAATGCTGCTAATGTCAAAAAGGGCGCCGAATCTAAAAATGATTATGATGACATTCGCGCTTTTATAGTCGAAAGAAAGTTTGGCGGTGTAACCAGGTTTTTTTTATTAACGTTATAATTGCAAGGTTTGTTTGATTTCTTATATAAAAAATTAAAATAGTCTAAATTTTACCATATTTTGAGGCAACAATCACAATCCATTCATTACTCAAATTAAATAGTTATACATCTTTTTTCCGCTTTTTCTCTCATTTGTTTAAAATAACAAAACAGTTGTTATGCCTTCCCACAGCCTCCTTATCTCAAATTATTCTCTTAAATCTTTATTTTATGCATAGTAATAATTAGAACGGTTATAACCTTGTAATAATTAAACATTGGCCTAAATGTATTGTCTGATCAAAAGTTATATTCCCATAATTTGTAAAAAGATCGGATATATTTTCTTCAAAATTGATTGTTTTAGAAATAAAGCCTCCAGGCGAATATCGCACTTTGGGAGCACCTCTTTAATTTTTTTAAAAAATAATCAAAAAATATGGAATGGGATATAGTATAATTCTTATTTTAGTGAACGATCGTTACCTTTTCCAACTCACTATAAGAAGGTTTACTATGTTTTCTATCAAAATTAAGCGGGCCACCGGAAAAAAAGATGGGAATCAGAGGTTCGAACACGGCTGAATTGGTATTCAACGATACGCTGGTACCAGAGGCCAACTTGCTGGGCCAGACCACAGGTGCTCAAAACCCTATAAATGGCTTCAAAATAGCCGTTTCCATCTTGAACGGAGGAAGGTTTTTTTTGAAATATTTAATACATTTTAATGTTGATTTAAGAAAGACTTCTTGATGAATAATTTTCTAGTAAATTGATAAAATTACCTCCTTAAATTTACATTTATGATAATTTTATAGTCAATTTATTATATGAGTGATATAAAATGGATGATAGATGTTTTGTGAATAAAAAATTTAAAAAAAGTCTAACAATGAAGGAAAAGATTTATATAAAGTGTAAATAATAAAATTGAATCCCACCTCCCCACATAATATAGATATATTTCTTATTTGAATTTTTCATATAAACGATATTTCCAATTTAAAAAAAAATAGAGGAAGCGATTATAAATAATGAACAAAATTTTTATTCAAATCATAGGTTTGGCATGGCAGGCGCTTTGGCGGGCTTGATGCGTTGTTGTGTTGAAAAGTCGGCCGCCTTTGCCGATGCTAGGCACCAATTTGATTCCCGTCCTATTCGAAATTACGGGGCAGTGCAGGAAAAACTTTCTAAGATGGCCGCTAGGCAGTATATTTGCGAAAGTATAGCTTTCCATTTGGCGGGAATAATGGACTTAGAAGCTAAAGGCAAAGATGGTGAAGCTGAAGGAGATTATCAGCTGGAAGCGGCCGTTTGTAAAGTCATGGCTTCGGTAAAATTGAATATAATTATTCTGATTTATTCCCACGTTTTAAAATAATATAATTTTTTAATAATATCTAAATTCTCGTTTGCTTTATATGATATTGTGACATGCGCGTAGCCATTGGAGGGGTAGGAGGATAAAAGGTTTTCATTAATTGTGATATGAATTACTATATTTCAAAGATATATTATACTTTAAATTTTAGAAAAAAGTTAAAATTAATTTAAATATTTTATTCTTGTGTGTTATTACTTTAACCCACGAAAATTAATATTATCTTAATGTTATGTAATGATACTAATAATTTTATAATTTTTAAATATATATATAAAACTAGCGTTGGCGGAAATCTTTTTTTAAAATATAAATTAAAAATTTCTTTAATTTTGTTACATGATACTTTTTATAATTATATTATAATCTATATTCATTAGGTATAGGTTAAAACAAAACCTAAAATAAATAAATTTACATATTTAAAAAAATACCAAAATAAATTATTAATAATAATACTATTATTAACGATGGATAGGCTACACGGAACCGTGAATAAGCCAATGTTATGGCGAAGATAGAAATATTCTTTTGGATGTGAGATGAATTTTTTCTTCCTATTTCTTTCAGGAAGGGAAGTGCCTCACGGCCGATTCTTGGGTTGATGTGACAACAGAAACAAATTTAATAGTTTAGCATATTATGTTTGTTTTTTATTTCTGACACCAAAAACATAAGTGTATTTTAGCGAATATATCTACACAAGTGTAATCCTAAGCGAGAGGGATACTTCTTTCCCATGAAATTAACTTTAATCCATCTGGCCTCTTACCATCTAAGTATTGAGACCTAAAGGTTCGAGAGTGTACGGTATGTTGACTCTTCTAGAACTTTGAATATTATATTGTTGATGGCTTAAAAAACGGGATGATGCTATCTGCTTTCCTATGAACCATTGTTAAATTAATAAAATTAAAATTGACTAAATCAAATGTATCTTATCATAATGTAATCTTCATTATCTAATACATGTTTCTAAAAAAAAAGAATTTATAATTAAAGAAAGTAAAATGTCAACACGATTATTTATATAATAATTAAATATTTTTGCATAAAATAGTTTCATAAACTGCTTCTGAATTAATTTTAGTAAATATGGAATATTAAACGGGAAAATATTACAGCAATTTATCATATCAATAAAATATTTTCAGGATTAACCCAATATACATAATTATTTATATTAAAATTTAGCAATCAATTAAAAACTCATCCAAAATATAGTAAAATTAAGGTTTTTATTTATAACAAAACAATCATTATACAAAAAAAAAATAATAGCCTAACTTTTTTGGCTAATATAATTTATTTTTTAAAAAAAATTTATTTTAATATATTATTTTTTAAATAGGAATTCGCTTGGTTTGTCATAGACGAGGCTATTCAAATCCACGGGGGCATGGGATTTATGACAGATACCGGATTGGAGAGAGTTATGAGAGATTTGAGGGTTTTCAGGATCTTCGAGGGAACAAGCGAAATTCTCAAAATCTTTATAGCTCTGGGTGGATGTCAAGTTTGATACAACCATTCTTGATTTTATTACTTTAAGTCAGGTTTGATTTTTTTTTTTTTTTGGAACCGAGTCTGATCCGAGGAATATATTTGTAATGTTTAAACTTAAATTGCAAAACTTGTTTTATCCTAAATCTCAGAGAATATTCCAATTATAAATATATTTTAACAAAAGAAGAAACGTAATTAATTTTTCTTTTTAAACCCAAATCCCGGTTCAAATTTTTTTTTATGGCCCAAACCTGATCTCGTATATATTTACGATATATCTTTTTACCCATTCTTCTAAAAAATTTAAAAAATTTAAAACTAACGATTATGACAATTGTCACTTTTTTATACTTATTCATTTGAAATCATAATTTATTTTAACTATATATTTTTCCCTTTTTTTCACAAAAAAATGCGAAAAATTATAAAAAGTGTCATTGAATTTGAACAATAATTTAACCTCTTCAAAAAAATTATAAAAATGATTATTTAACCAAATTTAATAAATAACATTTAAAAATTATTTAAATAATAATAAAGATTAAATTTACATATGCATAATCATAAAAATTATCTTTACAAATTATTTAATCATCAAAGATTTTAATATCTCTAAGATCACGAAAGATTTAGATTACAAGATTTTATTATCCCAAATTCATCAAAGATTTAACTTTAAAGATTTTATATTTAAAAACCGCCAAAGATCGAAATCATAAAAACTTTTTTACATTAATTAGATGTTTAAATTTTTTTTAAATATAAAAAAAGTATATTGGAGTTTATTTGAAGAATTTGCAAAGAGCTTTGAAAAATCCTATCTCCAATTTCGAACTGCTCAAAAATGATTTCTTCGATCAAATTAAAAGGTTTCATTTATTATTTTACAATAAATATATATTTTGTCAAATTTATATAAATGTATGAGTGAGATTAAAATTCATAATGAGAAATACTATAGAACTTCAAAGATAGACTTAACACTAAATCATGTCTAATTTACGCCTAAATATTCTTTACCCTGGTCCAGACGAAAAAAATAATCTTTTGAAACCTGATTATAGCGAAGAAATTTGAGAAAATATTTTAAAATTACAAAAAAAACATGAACTGCGTGATTTATATAAGGACACCTATTTCGATGTTTCCTCCCTTATCGAACACCACTACTTTACCTCCTCCCTTGAATCTCATCCTCAAACGTTGCGAATCCACTCTCGCTTGCTTGGCTCACTATTTTTCGGCAACGGTCCGAGCTTACGTTTTGAAAAACGGTATAGCCATTAAAAACGAACCATTCACCTTTGACGAGTTCGGTCTCACACGATTAGCTGAAAGCGCTTCGTTGATATTCGCCACCAGTGTAGGTCTATCTCGTATTTTAACCGCCTTGAATACTACTTCTAATAAGTGGTCAGATGAAAACTGGCTAACTGGCTTACAGCATCAGGCCAGTCTCGTCAGTCTGTTTTGTGCCGAGGTATGATATAATCATTTCTGCTTTAAGAGTGAGTTTTTTTTAAAAAAAAACTAACGTTCATAACTACAGCATTTTTTTAAACTATAGGCAATACAATAAATTTAAACAAAATACACATTTATATCAAATAATAATTTATTTATATAGGCAGACGAAAAAGTAAGGATGGATTTAGCTGCGGTGATAGAACATAGCATCAAAAAATCTCCCGATAAAGAAGGAAGGTTTCATGATATGAAAAAAGTTTCCGATGAAATTGTTAAGCATGGAACTATTATGGGCAATCATCCATTGGGATTTTAAAAATTTTAAGAATTTTCCTATTCACTTTAGCTCAAAATAAGATTCTTATACTAAATTATATCTGCAAAATAAAGCTAAGTCAAATTTAATTTATTAAATATAATCTATTATCTGACTCAAATACATTAAATTTGAGTTTATTAGATAAGGTTCTCTCAATCAAACTTTCATCAAGCTTTGATATTTTGAATATATAATAGTAATTTACACTATTATATCGATATTATTTATATGTTTTTTTATAAAATTGCTAAATTATTTAATTCAAATCTAATATAAAAATTTTAATGTATTCACAATTGGTTTTTTCAAGGGCGACGACTATATATATACATGTAATCAGAAACTAAAAAAGCATATAATTATTTGTGCAACTTTTTAGTAAGATGACATAATGATCATATTAATAAAAAAATGATATATTAAGAATTAATATTTTGCAAGAATTGATTTCAACCATTGATAATAGGTTATTTAGCGTTCTCATTAAATTATATAAATTACAGGGTTTTTTAAATAGCTTTTTTTATAAATAAGTAATCATTTAATTTTTGTCATTTAAATCAAGTCTAAACATAAATCATAATGGTAATAAGTAAATTTTATAATAATAATATATATATATACAATTATTAATGATTCAAATTTATGGTAACGTTCGATTTATAACGAATAGTTTCGCGCCTTGTTATAATCAATTTAATGATTTAAAGGTATTCAAAAAAATATAATATTTTAAACAAATGATTAAATTAAATTTTATTATAATGTGGATCAAAAAATAAATTGGAATTTTATTGTTTTTTTACAACAAGATCTAAAAAGTAATCGAACAATTTGTTTCCTTTTTCATCAACACAGAAATAAACAATTTATTTTTTAGATTTTGTTTTATTATCAGATGAATGACTAGAGTTTGATGAACTTGAAGAACTAGATGAAGAGGTTGAACTACTAGATGAGGTTGATGATGATGAACTAGAAGAACGTTTTTTATGAGATTTTTCTGAGATGTTCGCGGCATTTAACCCCAAGGGGGCTTGTACCCTCCCAGCTTTATTATTAATTTTTTTATTATCGATTGAAGATGAATCAATGTTTTTGTTAGTTAAGGTTCCAGCAGTATTTAATTTGTTAGCATTGCTATCATTTTTATCGGTGTTAGCATGAGTTATAGGCTTCGATTTTCGAAAATTTATATATAGCGATTAGTATAAAAAAAAATTAATTAAATATTTGATGCTAAGCATATTAGTAAAAAATAATAATAAAGCGCGGATTTTATTTAACATTTAAGCGATTAGCAAATAATAATTAAATATCAAACCTGGGATAATTTCGCTGTTTTTGTAACCTCTTCTTTTTTGGCAGACAAAGGACTAGCTATCTTAGATTTTACATCTTTTTCTTGAGTACTAGAAGGTAACGTTTTATGCGGCAAATCACTGGAAGGTTTTTTATTATCCTTAGGAAGAGGGGGTGGGGGTACGAGTGATTTATTACTAGACTCCTTAGAGTCCTTATTAGTTGAAGCTGGTTGCTTGTTAGTGTTAGTGGTAGTAATATGATCTTTTTTATTAATAATAGGAGGAGCGGGTGGTGCATTAGAAATTACTTTGGGCTTGATAGATTTATTGCCGTTTTTATTGTCCTCGTTGGTTTCTTTCTTTTCTTCGATTTCGTTGTCCAAATCGGAATCCAACGCCTTGGCAAGGGCATCCATATCTTCACCTTCCAAATTGTCCCACATCGATTCCTCTTCTAGATCTTTCTCGAAATGCTTGAGCCTGCGTAAGAAGTTATCACCTGGTTTGGCGTTCGGTCTTTTTTCGTGTAAAAAATCGAAGGCTTCTTTATATTTTTTACCCTGGAATTTTATCATGTATCCTGTGATTAGTAAAGAAATTTTAATATTTATAACTAAAAATGACTTAATAAATATTGTTTAAAAAATATATGATTTTATCATGAAAGATTTTTAAAACATAAATATCACAAAAGATTTGTATTTTGAGCAAACAGAGATAAAAAAAAATCCTTATTGAGAAACACTACATTATACAATAAAAAACATTTTGCATCCTTTTAAATATTTTTAATATTAATATGACCATCGTAAATAAAAATTTATTAATACAATACAATCATGTTCCCGTTGTTTATAGAGTTTTCACATTTTGAAGTTAAAGTTTCAGAAATTTTTTAATTTATACAATATTTGCTTTTAGAGTTTTATACTTCCGGATTTCTATTCTCGCAATGTATGCGTTTATAACGCGTAGCCTTTGCAGTAGTGTTGTTAGACGGCTCGAATTTAAAAACGGTTAACCCCATATTTTAGCCAGAAAATATTACGTGAGCCGGCAAATTTTGCTCATACAGAAAGGTTTGAACATCTATAAACGAAATCTCAAGGCTTGCGCAATTTTTTTTTAGTTAAAATATTGGGTTTAAAAATCGAGCCGTTAACAACGCTCCTTTTTGGATGATAGATAAAATCTTAACGAATAATAAATCAATAAGTTTCTTTCTAATATTTACAGCATAAGATCTAACTCCCTACCGGTTTTACCCCAAAATAAACTTGTCTAAAATGTAATTAAATTATTTTAAACTTTAGAAACAAATCATAGATTTAAGAAACTATATTGTACCTATCATTATACACGATGATATGTATTCGTTTTCGGTGCAAAATAGCAAAACCTTGCCATTCTGCCCCGATTCTGTTTTATAGGCTAAAGCCTTATCTATGAATTCAAAGCATTCTGGAAAAAATTGTCTTATATCTGTCAATGGATTGTCTTGAATTTCAACCTGCAAAAATGTAAGAAAAATAAATTTTAAATCGAATCACTAAAACCTTTATAAATTAAAATATTATATAAGTATAAAGCAACTCGTACGTGTGTTTAAAAAAGACTTAAAAATAAGTGTAATGTTAAAAGATAGGAATTCAAAATTTTTCGCACATATCTTTTAACAAATTATTTTTTTACTATCTTAAGCCTATCGTAAGAGAAGTAAGCCGGTGGGCAATAAATATAATTAATCTAAATTTTTGATTCGTTTCGAATTGCAAACCTTTTTGTAAATAAAATCTTTTTGACTAGAGTTGTCTAACGTTAAACGAGGAAGGAAATTTAGCACGTGTGTAATTCCCATATCGAGATTGGGCAATCTTTCTTTCAAATCTCTGTAACCTAAAAAGTTTAATAATGACTAAATAAATACACCATTTTATAATTATTTTTCTTCTCCTTTCCTTTCCCCTTCTTTGTAAAATAAATGTTAAAGACTCAGAAATTTTAAAATCAATACTCACTATATATATATATATATTAAAAATTAATTAAAATTAAGGTGCAAATTAAATGGATTTTGTGAAATATTAGGCATCAAATACTTAGGGAATACCGGAATTGCCAATCAAAATAGATGAAAATGAAAAATATATAAGGCAAAAAACATTTATTTTTTTATATATTTCGTTTAAACAAAATCAAATCGATATTTCAAGGCTAAAAATTTGTGTTTATTAAATCTAAGGTCTACACATATTTCATTACAAACTTAATACGCATTAAATAAAAACAGTGCTCGTCATTAAAAATAAATGGGGAAAATAACATCATGCGTTAACTTGGAATGTGTAGCGAGTAAAATATACACTTTTTTAATTATTATATGATATAATAAAAATTATACATTTAGATATTTAATTAAATTTATTTTAGCTCAGTATATAGATCAAATCGTCATACTTATGAATTTGTTGGACATATAATTTATATCCCATAAGTCTCGTGGCAACATCAGCAATAAAATATAGGCTCGGTCGGTAGCCCAAAAATATTATGTTTATATTTCCTTCCTATTTCCCTTATATTGCCTGATTTACAATTTAAAAAATAAGAATTTTTTTAAAAAAAACAGGATGCAATAATTAGAAGAAAATAGATAATCATCATTAATCATAGTTATTTTAAATTCAATGCATTAAATTGAATACAGAATAAAATAAATATTTTGTGTTAGAGATCTCTTCTCTTAAACTTTTTTAAAATTCGGCGGGCCGCATCACGAGCCGGACAAGAATTGCCACTGGCCCATAGGTTGTCTCGGGCTGGAAAAACTCGATACTTAACACCATTCTTTATAAATGGATACTGTTGTTAAAACTAGGATAAAATGAAATAATAAAGTAAAAGCGTATTTTGAAATTACGGAATGATATTGAGTCAATAAACAAGGCGGGGGGGGGGGGGGGCTTATTGTTTTAATATAGATAAAGAAAAGCCATCAACATTGAGATGCAATATTTTTATAAAGATAAGATCATGAGGATTATCATGAAAATTAATTAGTTAAATTTTTTATAAATAATCATGCAAACCATTTTGAAAAAAAATATAACGCATTTTTTTCCTTTTTTTGTAAAGTAAAGAGTAATTTAATGGCGTTTTATTTTTTGGACATTACATTTTAAAATTAACGTTTTCAGCACTGAATAAAAATAATAATTTGTAATTATGTTTGAAATAAGTAATATACCCATAACTATGCCAGGCAGAACCTCACTACACTGCTTGCCACCGGACATACGTTTACTTATGGCATCTTGGGGAATCTCTTCAGATTGTTTCCTACTAGGTGGTGAAACTTCATGTATAGGACTAGGCATTTTTGACGGGAATGGTTTCTTGACACTTTCAGTGGGTTTGGGTTCTGCAATGTTATCTTGTTTGAAGAGTTTTTTTGGAGCTAATTTATTTGCGGGAGGAGGCATTGATTTTGTTTGGGCAATTGGTGGAGTTGTAACAGATGGGGGAAGAACTATTTTATTGGGAGATTTTGGTAGAGGAACCTTAGATGAAAAAAATATCATATCAATTGCTTATCTAAGGGATGATTATTTTAATTTAATTTTTTTTTAATTATGTTTTGTGCAAATCCAATTAATAAGGTGTCTAAATCAACAAAATTAAATCCGATATATAAAATTGATTTTATTATAAAAGAAGGTTCTTGGTTTCTCAAACCCTTAAATATAAATATAGATTTAAAAAATAGATATGATCAAGATTGTATTTAGGAAAGTGTTTGAATAACTAATACATCGTTCCAGTTTTTTTTATAAGACGAAAAAAATTAGTTTAAAGTCGATTCTGTTCAGAAAATTAGGCGCCGAGATAGTTCCACGCATGTTTATTAGGCGTTTATGTTAATTCTGAGCAATGACAATTAGGCTAGGTAATTTAGTACAACAACAATAAGTGGTCAATTGGTCGTAAATATAATTTGGCGCTAGCCAGCCACGACAATTCGGCCCAACGATAGTTCCATAAAATAAAAATGATAAAATAATATTTAATGTGGGCAAGATAATACGCCAATTAGACGGACTCTCGAAGAATCAACACGCAAATATTCAGAGAATTCATATGAATCATTTATAGATAAATTTATAAACTTACATTATAGATTTAACGTAATGCCAAATAATATTTAACAACTAGTTTAGAGTATGAATAAAACTTGAATATATTCTGAAACTTTGATATATATATTTATTTTAAAATTATATAATATATAATTTTTTATCGGTTAAAACCAAACCGAACTAAAGGGCGATTGCAATAACCGAACTGATGAATTATCTTGAGTAATTAAATCTTATGTATAAAAAAAAAGGTTGATTGGAGTGATTTCTTTAAATTGTTAACATGCGCATGTTCTAGTTACTTGATTTTTAATAAATAAACCAAATAATTTCAATTATTCTATCCTGCCGGGGAGATTCTTAAGTTTTTAAGAATAAAGTTTGTATATATTTAATTTAAAAAAAATTAAGCTTCAAATTCTGCCCGAATTATATTTCCGACCAATTGACAGCGCCGAATTAACATGAGCAAAATTATCGTTGAGTTGAAATATCTCCGCGCCAAAATGACAGCGCTAATTGTCACTATGTCGTAATGACATGTGCCGGCTGCGCGGAATTGTGTTTGCGTCAAATTGTCAGTGTGCCTAATTGAAATTCACTAGAATTTCTCTGCATCAAATTATCTCTGCGCTGCCCATAATTGACCTGCACCGAAATGACATTCATCGAAATGAAATTCATAGAAATGACATTTCATAAATGACGTATAAGCATAAAAATTCAAGAAAAATCAGTGCTTTAATCTATATTATTAGGACAAAGTGTTTTAAACGAGGTATATTATTTGAAGAATGTCATAGATTTAATAACAACCAAAAAAAATTCAAAATTTTGTTGTTTGTTATTAAAAATTGACTTTTATTTTTCGAGTTTAGTTTTATTTTTGGTTTTTTCTTCTCAAAGCCACGTGTTTTGCCTTTGGTTAGAGTCCGTAACATAAATTATTATTCTCCTTTTTTTAAGTATAAAACTTACCCTATACATTTATATTTTTGACTAAGAAATATTTATCTAACCTTAATTTAAATACATCTTATTGGTCCAGTAAACCCAGGCCTAGCTTCGAAATAAAATAGCTTAAGATTAGATTAAGAGGATTTCATAAAATTCATAAATTGGCCGCAATATTTTTTATAAACGGGAGTTGAGGTTTCCATTTCTTAGCACACCTGAACTGGTGTACGTTAAGTGACGCCGTTAACTCTTATAATTTAAGCATGCTCAAAAAGTAAAGACCTGTATTTTGGTTAGATTGATATCCCAATACCATAACCTCTATAACAAGACTTAAATAAAAAGAGTTTTTCTATAATATGAGATATAAAAAAAATTTTTTAACCATTATAAAATTTTACTTATAATATTTATGCATTTTAGGGATAACGATCTCATACAAACCCCGGTCTCTCACAATTTTACGCAAATAAACTACTCAAATTGATTCTTTGAACAAAAATATCAATACAATATATACTAATTTAGAGGAAAATTGAATTATTTTATTTATAAAATTTTAATTATTTTTAAATATGAGTTATATGATGAGTACATTTTAGTTTTAGGTTTCCTATAAGTAACAAAGAGAGGGCTAGAGGTCAAGGGTTTATCGGAATATTTAAAATCTAAAATTTATCCAATCATAATCAGCATTTATGAAAGTTTAAATAGAGATTTTTGTTCAGTTCAATACTAATAAGCTGCTACAAATAGGCATATTTAAAGGGAGGCATAGTGATATTAGTATTTTTGATAAATTATTTAATTAACAAATTAAATAACTAAAGCTAACTAGAGATAAAATTTTGGGGAAAAGTGTTTAAAATTGTTTCTATTGACATGAGTTTCTTATTTTTTATATGCCAATTTTTTATTTATACCCTAAATATGACCTCTCATAGGCACCAGTGATGCCCCCACACTTCGGCATAACTTCGTAAAATGTTCCTGCTAGATATCTTATTAAGCTTGTGCCCATCAAGGAATAAAATATAAACTCTTAAAAAATTTATTGAAAATATGGTTATCAGTCAATACCGCTGAACTTTCCAGCAAACGGCATTATCGCAAATGTCAATTATAGTGAGAAAATATTTCGTCGAATGCATTACCATGAGTGAATCTCCTATACGTTAACCTGAATCATTTATGACAATCTATCTGAGCGAAAACATTACCGCGAAAGCATTTTCAAAAGTATATAACAGCAAAAGCGTTTTCCCGATAATATTACCGCAAAAATCAGCCATATACCTGAATAATTAAACGATGGGAAATAACATGGCCTTATCCCATATTTGGTTTCAATGAAATTAGGTAACATTTTGCTAATCGCCCATATTAGGCCTCAATTTGGATCAGGAATCAGTACGGGTAACTAATAGTCTTTAGCCCTGACTTAGTTCCGATAATATTTAAAACATTTAATCTCTTAATAACTAACAAAATATTCTATATATAGTAACCGACAACCCAAGCCTTAATTTGAACTTTGAAGAAATTAAGAAGAAAAAAATATATTATATTAGTTGATGTTATTTTAAACTTCCATATTAGGTCTTAGCGTTAGAAATTAGCTATCTGCGATAATGTTTGCGCTGTAATAATTTCGCGGTAATACAGTTAAACGACATTGGTAATACCTTTCCTGGAAAGATTTTCGCTGTAATAATTTCGCGGTAATGCAGTTAAAAGACATTAGTAATACCTTTCCTGGAAAGATTTTCGCTGTATTTACGTGATACGACAAATATAAAGATTTTCATGTATTTATTAATAAATCACAAATAAATTTTAAATCAAATATATATTTATTTATATAATATATTATATCTTTATAATATTTCTAATTAACAATGTTTAAATAAATTTGGTTCATAATGAATAATGAATATAATATTTAATAAATATCTGTAAAATAAATTGTTAATTTTTTGGTACAATTATGATTATAAGTATTTTACTAAAATAAAATATCACAATTTATTTAATTTTTTAATAAATTTTACAAGTATTTGACATATTAATGAATGTTATATCTTCTTTGTATTAGTATATTTTATATAATTTAATTAATTGTATGTTGGTTAAATTTATCTATAATATAAATAATAAATTGTTTATTTTTGATTAATAAATAATAAATTGCCTATTGTAAAAAATATTTGCAAAAAAAATCTATATATATTAAAATATAATATAATATCAATAATATAATATCTATAATATAATATCTATAATATAATATCTATAATATAATATCTATAATATAATATCTATAATATAATATCTATAATATAATATCTATAATATAATATCTATAATATAATATCTATAATATAATATCTATAATATAATATCTATAATATAATATCTATAAAATAATATCTATAATATAATATCTATAATATAATATCTATAATATAATATCTATAATATAATATCTATAATATAATATAAATAATATAAATAATATAAACATTAATTTTGCATATTTATCTATCATTTAATTATTATTATCATTGATTATTATTATTTTCAACATAGATTTTGAATACTTTTTCAGACTTCTGAAGCCTATTAAGTTTTAGATCCGATAAACCCCAGACAAGGCCTAATAAGCCCCATACATATAATTTTATTTCTTATCGGCCAAAATATATTTTTATGAAAAGTAATGGGTAAAAGTGTTAAATTTTAAAGTAAAATAAAAATGTATATTAAAAGTTAGCTAGATAGATTGATTAAAATTATGATTATTAAAATAAGTCTAAATAAATTTTAAAGGCGATCGATAAGCCATCAATTCTTCTTCAGGGAGATCATGATTAAGCATACAAATATAAAATATATGATTTAGTAAGAAATTTAAATGTTATATAATTACTATAAGATTTAACATTGAATCATGAATCAATTTTAAATTAAAGAGTAATTAAAATAATATATTTCATTTTATAAATAGGATATAATTATAAACTGCTACATATCATCATTTTAGAATTAGAGTGCGTTATTAAACAATATGATGATGAGGATATAAAAAGAAAATTATAATTGATGAATGGACATGGGAGGAATGATTCCAACATTCAATTTGGAAATTCTTCTTTAAAAAAAAGATGGGCATCTTATACGTGAGAAGGATAAGAATGTATTAATGAAATCTGTAAAAAACTCTACACTTAAAATCTGTAAGGTTATGAGATTCTCCCAATGCAGCAAAAATAGATGTTAATAAATTTTAGTGTTCTAAAAGAAAAGAAAGAAGAAAAGCTCTCTTCTAAAATTAAATGAGAAAATTTACTCATAATAACATGCATTTGTTTTACTAATTTCATTCTATATCAAATAATTCAGCTGTATATATATGTAGTTGAGTATATCTGTTATAATAAGATAGATAAATGATTTAGTCATGGGATGTCCAAAGTAGAGGCCAAAGAAGTATGTGTTTAGTTTGGTATAAATCAATGGCTTTAAAAATAAGAAAAAATAATGGTAAAGCAACGAGAAAAATTAAAAAAAATTTCACAATTTATATCCTTATGCCCAATTACGCCCGATGATAATTGGGCAAGCTCATCATATCCTGTCATGAAGTAGGCAAGGGCTCCTCCGGTATTCAAAAATATAAAGGGGGTATACAAGACTGTGGCAATCCTAAATAATAATATTAAATGAGCCTTGCCTTGAAAATATAGGAGAAATAGAAGAAGAAAAACCTAATTTTGGATTTATGACAAGATAAGAGAAAGCATTTAATCGAGAAAAACTTATATCAGATTATTTCAAGATATGTATAAAGAAATTAAAACTTATGTAAAAACGGGAAATGAAGGGTCAACTGTGCAACTATGTTAGGGTTAAGATTCTACGCTATCCTGCTCATTATCCTCATGGCTGAAATTGCTAAATATATTAATACAACTTTGGGTAATCGTGTTTGCTGATGATGTGGTATTGATTTCCTCAGAAATGAAAGAGGTATTCGACAGTTATGTAGAGTAATATAAAATGAAAAAACAAAATGTGGGAGATTTAAGAGAGGGGAGAATCATAATATATAGGTGAATTTATTAAGAAATTAAAGATAAAAATAAAGAAAAGTCGTAATTCAAATAACTCTGTGGATAAGGATCTTAGCCTAGAAAAGTAAAAGAGAGGAATCGGAGTGATCACGTGCGAAATAGTTGTATTTAAAAAATTAGTATTTTACCTTGTAAGTCGTAAACGTAAAGTATCATTCAAAATTTATTTTACATATTTAAAATGATAAAATGCTATACATATCTAGATAAGTTAAGGTTGCAAATTAACCGTATATCATATGATCCAATGAATATAATTGGCAATCTAGTGAATATATTGTTATATATTGCTAGAATAAGATGTCAAGGGACAAAAATAAAGGGTTTGAAGGAACTAACCATCCTTAAAAATTGCTTTTATTATTATATGATAATTAGAAACTTTACTAGCGCACTCTAATTCTAAAGTTAAGATGATTGCCATAATGATTAAATAAAGCTGTTAATTATTTCTCCAGTATTTTATTCGAAAAAATCAATTAATAAAATTTATTTCCATGACAATATGTCTGTATCTTAGGGTTTAGTATAGAATATTTCTTTTTCCGCATTTTAAGATTTGCCAGTAAAAAGTTAATAATTTTCAGTATTTTAATTGATCTGTCAGTAGAAAAATATTTTCTTTGTTATTTTAATTATGGAGAGTTGGGCGTTGTTTTCTAATAAAAACGCTTACGATGAATGAGAGCCAAAATTGTCAATACCCCTATTTTTTTATAGTTCTTTCGAACAATTTCTCATTTAAAACGAGCATTTATTTTTAAAAAATAATTTTTTACAATAAACTTATAATTTATTTATTAAACGCCAGCGGAATATCGATAAAATTATTTAAAAAATTTCTAAATAATTTTATGCATCAATGGTATTGTATAAAAATATATTATAAAATTCTATATAATCTCTTTTTTTTAATATAAAAAGAATATTGAAATTATTTTTGAATAAAAAAGAAAGTTGTAATCTTTTTTATAAAAATACTCAAATATTCTTATTTTTACGTGATTTCGAAAGTAATATAGAATTATATATTTTTATTTGCATGTTCATTGATATAAAAAATAATTAAACATGTAAATCGCAAGTGCATAATAAGTTGGAACTTGGAAAAAACATATTTTTATTGATGAGTAACGAAAGTGAAATGTGAATTTAATATTGATGAAATTACTGCATAATCCTTTTAAATTTATAGATATCAATTCAAGACTGTATGTTTCTCATGTAGAGGTATGTATAAATCGCCATGACCCTTTAATTAAAATAACAATATAAAAAATTTTCAGTGTTGTTAAACGGCTCGATTTAAGCCGATTTTTAAAAACGGCTAACTCAATATTTTGGCTAGAAAAATTGTCTAAGTTTCGAGATTTCATTAATAGATATTCAAACCTTTGTGCCACCTATGAGCAAAATCTTACGTCTTGCATAATATATTTCTGACTAAAATGTTGAGTTAGCCGTTTCTAAAAATCGGCTCAAAATGACCCGTTTATCAACACTGAATTTTTCCATAGTATTAAATATTTATTATTTAGCTATAAATTAATTTTTTAAAATCATTTCGATTATTTTATAACAGACTTACATTGATGCAAAAATTATTTTAAACAAATAAATTTATATAGAATATTTATAAAAATAATAGATATTCCGCTGGCTTTTAATGAATAATTATAAGTTTAATGTAAAATATTATTTATTGTAATAAATGCTTGTTTAAATAAGAATTTGTTCAAAAGAATGATAACATTAGGATATTGACATTATTTATTTTTCTATATAATTTCGAATTAAATGAGAACAAAATATAAAAATGTTATTCACGTATTGGGTACTCTTATAATTAGAGTTTACGTATGGCAATTATATTAATAGTAAAATAAGTACTTTCTTTTAATATATCCGTTAAATAAATTTACAGTTATAATTGATTAAATCCTAATTTAAATATTTTTGAAATGAAAAAATAAATTTAAATTCATAGATTTCTAATTTCTCAAAATTTATTAGTGATACTATTTAATTTTATTATAGAATAAACTCCATCTTGCGAATTAAATATTATAAAATTATATTTTCTTATTTTAGTTATTATTTTAGATTTAATAGAATATAATTATTAATTTATGTTACTTTTATTAATAAATATATCAGTAATTTAATTTTAATGATTTTGATTATTTATATAACAGCATAAGGAGAAAAATTATTATTTAATAATCATTTATGATTTTTGTCTTAATAATTTAAATTTTGTAGGATTCTTTAATTTAAAAATATTAACCGACAATCAAAATTGATAATGATTTGTGATTTTTCATCATAATAAATTAAATTTCCAATATAATTTTTTTTAAATATCTATGATGTTTAAGTTTAGATAATTACTTTCCCTTTTTTTAGTTTTATAATATGATAAATTAAAATAAAAACTATTTGTTTATCTCCTTTTGCATTAAATTTTAAAATAGCATACTTTTAACTGTAATAGAAGAATATATAAATAATTTTAACTTTCAAGATTTGCATTTACCTGGATATTTACTCTTTTAATCATGTCTTATATACACACCTACCTCTTATCTCTTTAACCAAGTAATCTTATTGTCCTAATCTCGTCCAAGAGCCTGATATCAGAAATTTTTTGTCCCATAATGGGGACGGCTCCATAATTCTGAGTATCAATCTAAGAAAAATTTGCAAAAAGACAATTCGCAGGAAACTTAATGATCTCTATTAATAATTAATTTAATTTTTATAGTTATTAAAAAACGTTATTTTTTTATTAAACAAATAATTCTCTTTTATATCAATTTTATTTTTACTGATCAAAAAATAGTGAATAATTTTTTAGTTAATACTGATTATTTTATTTATCATTTAAATTGGTTAAATATATATTTTTTTATACTGCTAAAATAATTAAAAATATATATTGACCAACCAAAAGTGTACTGAGAATTTCAGAAGAAAATACTGGAGCTCTTAATTATTCGCCAATAAAAAAATTTAATTACAATAAAATATCTAATTTTAAATTATAAAATAATGATTCTAAAATATAATACCTTTTTAGGCGTCTCGTTTGTTTCGTCTTTGGACTTGGGGGCGCCCCCGCCAAACGCGTTCATCCTATTTTTAAGGCTTGTTGAAGATTTTATCATATCTAAACTTGCTTGCCTGTCCAGTCTACTCCTGTCCAACCCTATAATAAATAAATATATTATTACAATTGGTATACAAGTTTTAAAAAAATACTTTGTAGAAGATATTTAGTTAAAAAATCTGAGTTTTACATATGAACTAAAAACCGATGAGTCAAAAATTTAAGGATACATTTTGTAGTAAGAGATTTATTATTTTATAATTATAGTCAAACCTGTCTAATTTTGGCTCTTAATGATCCAGGAAGCTCTCTGAAAATTTGACTAAAATTTAAGTTCCAATCGAATTCCTATTATCAATATTAGAAAATGCCAGGGCAACTTTATACTAAGAAAAGTGGGCAAAGTCCATTTTCGTAAGACCTTTATAATATGGGCAGCATTTATTGTTTGCATTCATTTATTTATATTATAAGATTTTATCATTTTTTTCAATATTCATGTTCAAATAACAAAAAAAACAAATATAACAAGTTATAGTTGGTTAAAAAAATGATGTTATTTTCTAAATTATCGTTCTCAAAGTGAATGTCCTAAAAGAAAATTTCTAAATGAACACTTCACAATATTCATAAATCTAAAGAAGACTATATCAAATGCCATGCAAATGAAAAATATAACATATTGTATCAAATAAAAACAATGACAACATTTTATTTTGTATACAACAATTTTATATATTATGCATATAATTTCTTATACTTATGATTTTGATGTATTAAAAATAAATTTTTGAAATTTTACTAAACTATAAATATTAAGATGGCAAAGTGTTTTTTTTTCAAAGTAAAAAAATTGGGCAAGTTGGGCAAAAATCTTGGTCCCAACGGTGCCCAAATTAGAGCCCGGCCTAGAAAGGACTTAAGTATTTTTTTTGCAAAACCAATTGGATAGCTGGAATATTGTGTAAGAGATCATTTATCATTTTTACTGCTCGTATCTTCAATTTCCTTTAACAATAAAATATACCGCAAGATCATTTAAAATGAATTTTTAAAAATTCTAAACAAGCCTAATAAAAAATACTAGGGCCGAGCTGGTCTATTTTTTAAAAAATTTGATCTCTGCAGGTATTTAATATAAATATATAGGAGTCCGTTTTAAAAATTTTATTTTTTGAATTTTGATTTCTTCTTTGATGATTATTATCAATAATAAAATGTGAATTTTTTTTAATAAACTTTTTAAATCACTTTAATTCTCTATAAAACTGTTGTTGCTTTATTGGAAGCTTCAGGAATTTAAATAATGTTAAAAAAAAGAAAAAAAAATTTTTTTTAAATTTTAATAAATTTTAATTTAATAGAACATAGTCTTAGGTATTTTAGTTAATATAATTTTATTTTAGTAATCCCCATTCTGCCGGAGTAGTAGTCCCTACTTCCATCGTTCAGTCAATTTAACGAAGCGAATAAATAGAATTAGAAATAATTTAAACAAAATTCCCTAATAAAAATAAAGTTTAATATAAGGCGACCTGGCGAAGACCAAGCATTCGTCGGTTGGGAATGTTTGTAACCCCTTTCCCCTTGAAAAAATCGTGGATAGGCCACTGCCAATTATTACTTTGCTATATTAAATATTACAATAATTGGAAAATTTCAAATTTCTATTATATGGCTTCTGGTTATTGATCATAAAAATATACATTATATTATTAATTTAGTGGGGAAATAAACCTGATTTAATATTGTCATTGATGTCTTCTGTTTCAGCTTCAGCGTCTCCATTAACAGCTTTATCATCTGTCACCTTTGGTTTGGGTGCTGATATTTTATCAGGTGGAGCGGCTTGGCTAGGAATGATCGTTCCATCCTCTGCTGTAACTATTATGTTGCCCCTATGAAAAGAAGAAGAAAAAAAGAAATGTAAAGGAGTCTAATCATATCTTGGCTTAATCGCTTAGTTGTTACGTTGTACAAAATATTTAAGCAGAATTTTGCTCAATTTTAATTCAACAATTTTTAACATTAATCTAAAATTCTATATAACTCCAAAAAAAATCATCCTTGCAATTATTTATTGACTAGGTATCATAAAATGATCTTTAAGCCGTTTTTACCATTAAATAATTATATATAAATTATCAAAAAAGAATTTTTTTTACACGAACATAATTACGATAAATTTAAGAGATCTTTCCAAAATCTTAAATCATTTGAAAAGAAATTTGTTTTGCCTTATTGTAAAATTCCAGTAAGAGATCAAATCCCAAGAATACACTAAAATTAATGAATTAATATATTCTAATAATAATAAATTTGCATCCTTTAAAGCATTGAGTAAATAAAGGAGGAAAGGAGAAATCTCCTGAAAAATAGATTTTGTAATAATAAAAATTATAATTAAAATTTTTGTGAAAAAAAATAATTTTTTTAAAAGTGTAAAAACCAAAATTATTTTAAAAAATGTTTAAGACAACAAATGCATTCAAAAGGCGGGTCTAACTAAAGCGTTCCACAAAATTATAGCAAAAAAAGAGATATAACCCCCTTACCCCATGCGAAAATCATGGATACACACATCTATGCTTTTTTAAAGAGTTAATTATATATGATCACGTGGTCAATTATTAACACTAATTGTTTGTGTCGATATGTTATATAGTATATTAATATTTTAGAAGATAGAGACTGGATATAGTATGAACTGAGGCTAATACAATTTAGTCTTAAATTCCTAAACTACTAAACACTGATAAATATATCATTTTGAAATTTATATATGAAATGTGACTATAAAAGCTATTTAATCTTAAATTTTAAGAACTAAACACTGATTTTTCAAACTAGTATTCATTTTTCATATAAACATATGATTTATGTCCTAAAAAAACAAGTAGTGTAAAATAACAATGGAAAATGACATTAGGAACCAAATTTCTTTTTTTTATAGATACGTCTACTAAAAGTTATTTCTTTTCTCTATTTTGGTAATTTTATTTTTAAACATTTGAAACCTCATTTTTTTAAATTTTTTATATCCTGAAATCAAAGTTATAGATTAAAATAGTCAATTTTTATGAATATTATATATTCTTTATCATTAGAAAAATCTCTATTCCATTATATAAAACGATACCTTTAAATCTGCATATACCTATAACAAAGCCTACCCTAATTTCAAATTTTAAGAAACGCGGAGAGGGGCAATGGGGCATGTTGGAGGTTGAGCCTCCAAGCACCATTATGTAATAACAATCAAATTGGAACTCATAATATTTGATCCAAAATCAATTTTCCTTATTTTAAATTTAAAAGAAAAAAAAGCGACAAATAAAAAGCGAGATATTATATAATTCTTGAATGAGGCCCCAACCAAAAAGCTCATTTTCCTCCCCCCAGTATGACTTAATTTATAATATAAAATTAATTGAAATAACTATATTTTATAAACTCTTTATAAATGATATTTAAATTTTATATATTTTATGCTAAAAAAAGGATATAGTAGTTTTCATTTTAGGGGCTTTCAACTTTGGGGTATAGCATCAACCCCGATCATCCCATATACATTATATAAAAATATAACTGAGCATCTCTAGTTTCTACGAGTCTCTGTCCATCGGCTGTGATCACTTTGGTTTGAACTTTTTTTAACTTTTTTTTCGAAAAAGCTTGAATATCCTTTAAGAATGGTGAGGCCATTTAGAAAATTTTATTGAAGCAGGAAGATAATATTCCTTTATATTTTTCGTCTAGAAAAGTTTGTTTTTTTAATTTAAAAAAAAATATATATATTATTCAAAAGAATAAATTAAAATAATTGAAATAATATGATCCGTGATCATTTATAATGTAATTAATCCAAAACTCAATCTGATTTGGTTAGACTTGTTTTTATGGCTTTAAACCCAAAAAATGTGACCGCAAGTTTGAATTTTTATCCGATTTAGGTATTTTGTCGTATCGCAATTTCTGAAGCCTTTCTCGGAAAAATCAATTAGTTTTTTAAAATGAATTTAAGGATTATCTAGGGCTGTGAATATCGGATTGGGTAGATATTTTATTGTTTTGGGTTATTTAATGATTGTATTTGTATTTGTATATAATTGTATAATATTTCTAATTTTATTATTAATAATATATTAATAAAAGAACCAAAATTCAATTTATTTGTAATGTTTAAAAAAAAATCGAATTATTTTAAAAGATGTGGCTAAAAATATATTATCTGTATTAAGAAAAATATATTTAAAAATATCTAGCAAGTCACATTTAGCTAGTGTTGTTAGATGATTCGATTTCGCCAATTTTTAAAATTTATAACTCACCAAAAAAAATTCAGAAAAAGAATTTTTTTTTTGAGAGCCCCTAAGACTGTAAAGGTTAGTGACACCACTGAGGGTATAATATAAATTAAAAAACTCATCTATTCAATGTTTTTTATGGTCACTCACTTTATATGTATATTAAATAAGGTTTGCTTGTAGTTGTAAGTTCTAATTTTTTATATAAATAATGTTTGTTATAAGTCAGTCTTCAAATAATATTTATATAAAATATCAGTAATTTTTTCAAGGAACAAAAATAATGTATAAAATGATTTTTTAAAAGAAGTAATAAAAAAGCATATTTTTAAAAATACATATATTTTGTTAGATGGCTCAATTTCAATTGAATAATGAACTTTAAGATAAGGTACATATCATGAGTATACACATTTTGACCAATTTTGAGAGAAATTGGTTTAATAAATAAAAAGTGAAAGAGAGTGGCCAAATGCCTAAGACCGCTTAAGACTTTTCCTTTATCTTTGATTAAATGATTTATTCGAGTTAACAAATTTTTTACAAATTTCTTTAAATAATATTTTTATTAGGGAAATCAGTAGTCGGCGCAGGATTCGTCAAAATCATCATAAGTCCAAAAATAATAATAGTATAGGAATTCAAAAAAAATACTATGAGATGGTTAAAATCTCTACTACATAACAATTTTTTAAAAATATTTTAATAATTTTTTATCAAGAGGGAATATAGTAAATGTAGATTTTTGTCCCAAGCTCCAACCAGGGGTTTGTAGAATCATGTGATTTATTAATTCCATCATATTTTTATTTAGAAGAGATGGCTCCGCATTTAAAGGGAACACCAAAAACGGTTTTTATCGCATTTTTCAGCAAAATATTTTTTTGGTTTATTTTGCTTAGAGGCAAAGTTTCGGATTGAGGCAACGGACTCTTTCGGATTTTATATAATTTTTATGATAGATTCTTCACGGTTGAACTTAATTAAACGCATCTGGTATTTCTAGCTCATCCAGAAAAAACTCTAGCGTTATTTAGGATGCTCCTTACACCGGAAGTATTTGGCAAGGGGTAGAGTGATATACCAAATTAAATTGCAAATATTATCTATGATTTTAAGTATATAGACTTTAGTTGACAACAGTTGCGTTTTAGTCGTTACAATCTCAGGGGACAGGGGATCAACTTTAAAAGCGGGGATTGGGGGGGGGCTCTTCAAATTTTCAGAGCGCACTCGCCCCTATGTCCTTTCCTAGTGACCCTATAGGATGACAATAATTCCGGTAAAAATTCAGCCCCGAATAGTTGATTCAACATCCAGAAGAGCTGATAACTCATTTAAAATAGATCATGCTATCACTTATCTAATAATGATAACGAAAGAACGTCTCTCAAATGATAATCATCAATCCTGTTACTAAAAAAAATTATTTCGAATTCTGCTTTCCTCTCTAATTATAATAACATTGTCTTATAATAAAAAGGTTAAATAAACATTATATAATTTTTAAACTTAAGATATGAGAAGGGCAATATTGATAACATAATTGTTAAACTACCAAAGTAGTGGTAGTATAAAATGGAGAAGGATGAACATATCGTAAAACTTTCCTCTATTTGTGACAAGATAGGAATGACCAGTGTATATATGTTTATTTATTAGAATAATTTTTAATTATCAAAATTTATAATTTTTTTATTGATTTCAACATTATAAACTATTTTTTAGTTTTTTGGTTTTATTTCGATATTTGTCATTTCTAAATTGCTATCCATCTAAACCCAGAGTCTACAGTATGCTATTAGCTTAAATATTTCTTAACAAATTCATCTATCGCATCGCACTCTAATTTTGAAGGCGAAGAAATATCATAATTCATTATTAATTTTTTATAAGATGTTCAATTCTTCCAAACCAACCTTTCACCCAATATCATCATAATCATCATAAATAAATATTAATATAATTCTTATTTTTTAAAACTTGCAATTGATTATATATAAATTCCTTGTGCATCATCAATCAAGCATTATTCTTTTCTTTTTTTTAAATTTAAAATAAAACAACAAAGATTAATATTAAAAATATAATTTTCTATTATTGCAAAAAATATATTTCAGGAAATCTAAGATGCAACGGTGTAGTATAAGATAATAGACATAGACTATACGTTTACTTATTTTTTTATTTACATTAATGTTGATAATTGAAGATATAATATAAAATACAAACTAATATAATTTTCCAAGAAATCATATTCGTTATAATATAAAAAAATGTAATAATCCACCCTAATAATAATAAATGTTGGATAAGTTATCTTAATTCTCATTTGTAAGAAACTCGGATTTTTCTTTTCTTTGCGCCTGTTATTTTAACTAAATGAAAACGGATCTTATTCTTTCATAATATATAAAATAATTAAATATCCCAATAATAAAAAATTGGCTTATATTATTTCCGCTAATCTTCCAAATTGAAAATGAGTTTCTAAATTAAAGGAATAAATAAATTACGATAAAATTAAAACAATATTGATTTATTTTTATAATTTTTAAAAGAATAATTAAATTCTCAAAATTTAAATAAAATTTTTAATCAAAGAATTTGAAGAACACTCATGGTTGATAAATAAACTCGATAAATTTTAAAACTGCAGGAAATTTTTTTAATTGAATAAGATATATTTAAAATTAAATAAGTATCTGAAGTAAGGAGTAGAATTAAAGATTAGAGAGATAAGGGTTAGGGTTCCTTATTCCATTTTTTCGTATTCGTTAATTAGGTCTTGAAAAACGGATTTTTGCTGGAGTTTATAAATTGGTAACTCAGCATATAGTTTATAGACTAATTCTGTATGAAGTTGAAGTGTATAAATATGGTATAATTCAACTTCGTGATATGCAAATCTTATTTTAAAAAAAGAATTTAAAAATTTTTATTATTTTCTAATAACTGAATTCATTTAAATTATTCTATTTCATTTTCAAATAACTTTCTTAGTATCACAAACATATCTGTTTAAAATTCTCGTTGCTAGGTTAGAAAATATAATGCTGATGGTTTGAAGATGAAAAGCATAAATATCAAAAAAACTCTATAGCAATATAATAGCAAAATTTTATTCAATACCTTAGGAATTCATTTATAATTTTTAAAATCAATTGGGAAAAATCAAAAAAGGAAATTTCTTGTTGTAATAAAAAAAGTAAAATGAAGAAAAATATAAACTTGCCAAGGTTTAAAAATTATACTTCTCCACTCTGATATTATATATATACTCAATGTTGTTTATAAAATTTTTTAAAAGACTGGTTAAATAATTAAAGAAAGTTTATGATTTTAGGTAACAACGATTTCATCGAATAATATTTTTAAGACAATTGTAATGTTTTATTTACATCACAATAACAAAATATTTGATTTTTTTTTAAAAAACGACTTATTATTCCAAATGTTAAAAGAATATAGCAATAAAGCGGATAGTCTTTTTTTGTTGAAATTAAAAAGCTAGAAGCTAATATCAGTAAATTATACGGCCAAAAGTATTGTTAAAAATGGAGCCTGTTTTATTGAATCTTAAGAAGTTTTAAGTATATACTAATTAATATATGATCAAAAAAACTTTGTGCAATTTTATTAGCTTTTTCTTCCCTCTACAAATAATGTTTTTGATAAATTTTTTGATTTAAACAATGAGTAATTAATATCTTATTCAAAACTACCCAAAATAATAATTACGAAGAGGAATATGAAACCCTTCGTATAATTATGCCCCCTTCCCCGTTTTAAAATATACGTTTTGTGCAATCGTATATGGAATTAGGGAGTAAATTTTAACTTTAAATATACAACACTATATTTTCAACAATTTATTTAGATAATACTACATTTTATTATATTCATTCAAATAAATATTTGTTATAGGCTTAGGAAACAAGACCTAACTATAAAATGTGAGGTACTAGAATGAATGAATGAATCCAAGCTATTCATAATTATATAAGAAAAAAATAGATTAATTTTTTTTAATAACATTCTTAGTAAAATTAAATAATATCTGGTATAAGTAATCTATTTTGGGGAAAATTGTATCCAAATAAAATATTTGTTTTGTTGTTAGGCTTGGGAAGCGAAAACCACATATATGAGGGCTACAAGAATATTTTGAATGAATGAATGTATCCAAGCTATTCGTGATTATTTATAAGAAAAAAGGATTTAACATTTTGGTATAATTATACCTACCTAGGTATATGTAATCTTTGGGATTTTGTGAATATTACATTTCAATAAATTCCCAGTGAATATTCATGGGAATTTCCTAAAACTCTTGGGCATATGCCGGATTTAATAGTCCTAGTTTTTGAGAAATCATTTTAGCTCAATTATAAACTAAATATAAAATATTACCCCGCCTCTGTTGCACGATTTCGTAAATATTTTCTCTAAAAAATTAATGGTTATGACACTAAACTACCTATTGAAATTATTATGTATACAAGCTAGAACCCTGCAAATTTAAACTTTCTTACCTAAGCTCAAATTATTTTGAAAATTTTAAGCCCAATCTCCCTAGATTTTTGTCTGAGCCCGCCTAGAAATTTTTTAATTAAAAAATATTCCAGACGTATTTTTTTATAAAGTTATAAATAAGTATAAAAAAAATCAGGAATGAAAAAAAAAATATTAAAAATTCTTTGAAGACAAATTTATTTTTTTTTCTTGAAAGATCAAAAATAAAAAAATTTTAAAAATTATTTTTTAATAAAAAATCATGAAAGATATGAATAATTTTTTTTACAAATTCAGAATTTTAAGTAAAATTTGATCAAAAGAGCCTCTCTTTGAGAATTCTCAATTGTAATTTTGAAAATCCTCAAAAGATTAAAATAAGATTTTTGAAGATTTCTAATTTTAAAAATCATTTCAAGCTCTAAAAGATCACTTTGCTCCTATCAAAGAAAAATTCTGATTTTATTCAAACCCCCAAGCCGGGCTTAATATTTAAATAAAATAACTGCCGAGCATTGAGTCCTTATGAAGCATTATATTTTATGGAATAGCGCCCGAAATTTAAAAAAATTAATATAACAAAAATTCCCGAGGATAATTATTTTTTACCTTATGATGCATCTAGAATAAATTAACTAAGGTTAGATAGTAGTACTGTTGTTAAAAAGCCATATTAGGTCGATTTAACAGCCCAATTAAAATTTTAGCAAAAATAATATCATGTGAGCATCGAGATTTGGTAAATAGATGTCCAATCATTTCTGCCAGCTATGAGCAAAATCGTAGGCTTATATAATGTTATTTTTATAACCTTAATCGGGCCGTTTTTTAAAACCGACCCGAATCGGGCTTTTTTACAACACAATTAGAATGAATACATGAATTGAATATTATGTTATTTTTTATAATTATTACATAGTAAAATAAAAATATATAATTCCAATTATATTACCGATAATTTTTCCGAATTTTTTTAATGTAAAAACTTGAACTTGAAATAATATAATAAATAAAATTGTTATGATTCCAACCAAATCTTTATTTTTTAATTTTTTTTTATTGAAGACATATGGGATTATTGATCTTAAATTAAAAAAAAAATATCTACCAATTATACTATAATAAAATATTTTCAAAATTTAAAAAAAAAATCACAATTTCCTCTTTTTTTAAAGAATGATTTCATTTTATTGAAAGATTTAATTAGTATAATTAGAAATGTTAGAGAGGAGTGGAATGTATCCTAAAAAAGTTTTTCTCTGATATTTAATTACAAAACATCATAGGTTTTATCTGTTGCATAATAATTTTTTAATCTGGTAGAGACAATATGTAAATGCACCCGAAAAATGAAGGAAAAATTTATACTTTTAATGCTATATTTAAGATCTTGTTCCTTATAAATAATGAATAAATCTATTATGGTCATTGTGCCCCAAACTCCCTCAAACTTCCTAGATAAATTGATAAGGAAGAGTGGCCGGGCAAAGATTTTTGTTGTTTCGGGACGAAAATTATTCGAAGAGCTTTATTATCACAAAATAACGAACTTAGTTAATCATTTTTAAGTGAATCCCTGAATAATAAACTTATATTATGAGTAAGTACGCAATGCATTATAGTTATATATAAATAATTTATGAATTAGGTAATATTATTAATAAATATATATATTTATATTAAATGCATAAGAAACATAAATTCTAAATTCCGTCGTTCCCCCGTTTATATTATGTTAGCTCATGTAAAAACTTTAGTCTATTTTTAGAACAAAACTCAGTTGGAAAAAAAAAATTCTAAATAATTATATTATGCTATTAGTCCTACTTAGAAGTTTTATAACGAAATATTAAAAGTTGAAAGAATTCTGATGAGTTCTAATTAAAGTGGTTAAAATAAAATACTTTTGGTCCTTTAGTATGATAAAAAAAATTATATATATTAAAAATTGTATAAAAATAATAATTTAATAAATTTTGACATTGAAAAAAAAATATATTAAATTTTATAAAATATAAAATAAACAAAGATAAACTCCACCTGCTAAAAAAAATATTTAGATTTCCAAGATTTTCAAAAGTTAAGTTCAAATAAATTTTATAAGGGATTTTTACTTCAAATTTTCATTTATATCATTCAAATAAAAAAATATTTTGTCACCAAAACTACAATTGTCATATTTTGACATAAGTTAATTTTGGAACAATAAATTTAAATTTTACGTTTTTTATTATAAAAATTTTAGAAAATAATATAATTCAATTAAAAAATTTTTGGCCCATTTATTCTAAATAGAAAGTGATGATTAAGCTTTTATAATCGCGGAAATATTTTAGTGATATTGTAAGATACTGTTAAAATGTGTATTATATATATTAGCTATCGCTTAGTTTCAAAATTTTTTGAAGATCCATTATTGGTAAATTACCCAATTTTGGAAATTCTATTAAGCTTCCCATTTTAATGAAATGCGTAGATAGTCGATTACGAACTTAATATAGACAAGCATTTGATTTTTTCGCCGATGTTAAAAAATGTTTATATAAATTTTATGATAGAAGAAATTACATATATTACTAATGATATTTCCTTTATATTAGCTATTATATGCAAATCTAATCCATGGGAATAAGTAGGCTTTCAAAAGCTCATTGTTTAAAAGAATTTCTTTAATTGGCCCGCCCGTGGTTTCTGAAAAAGGTTTACCCGCTGGTTCATTTATCTAAATTTTTTATTTAATCAGCCTATTGTTTACAAATATCTTGATTTTTGGAAGTAGGCAAGCCCATCCTGCTCATTTTAATATTCATCCGCCCGCCGGTCTATGATTTAAAAAATATTTGTGCCCCTCCAAAATTTTAAATTTTTATTTCCAGACCTCTATTTTTCATCTCCTTAAGAACTGATCGTTTACATGAAAAACAGGGATTAAAAGCAAAAAATTATCTGATGATTGAGGCCAATAATTGTTAAATCTAATATTTTGATTTAAATGCTAAATTAAATTTTAAATCATATCATTAACAGTAAATATTTTTACTCAGTTTGACTTTACAAGATTGAGAATCATTTTCATATTAATTAGTAACAACTGGTAGATTATGATCAACCAATGTTTTATTATTTCTATCCTAAATTGCGATGCTTGAAATAATAATCATGATTTTGTTGAATGGAGGTTATAATAAATAGTGTACAATTATTTGGACAATATTTATAAATAATAACCTGACGATTTTTTTTTCTATTAACATGATCGATTTATTATTAGGATAATTTCTGGAATGATATTGAGGGCGAAGGGTGAAATTACTTTAGAGAGAAGGGTTTAGAGGGGAATTTACCTCCAGAAAATTTCAGTCATGTAGACGCTGCCTGTAGGTATTTGTTTTACTACTATACAGAGCTAAACTTATAGCTCTTTATTAACCCAATAAAAATGTTAACCCTACTGTTATTGGAATCACTTGACCACGGTTTACTACTAGTTAGTAGTTAATAGAATACTGCTTACTTTATTTAATACTATGACACAATCAAGTGGGTATAAACGCAAAAGGTTAGTCTGAGACTTCTCTTCATGTGAACCGTATATACCCTTATTAATGATATTCTAGTTAATCGATTTTTCAAATTCCTTTAATTTCTAAAAGCAACTAATTTCTAAAACCCATTATCATACTATCTACTCAGAATTAAGAAAGGTGAACTTGAAGATTTAGCTAATACTTGTTTCTCCTAAATTATGTAAGCTAATATAGTCTAAGATGTTAGCCGGACATCAGTCATGAGGGTTAGAATGGAAAGCGGAGTTGGAGGATACATGGTCGTGCACTGTGGCGTACAAGGTATATTAATATACTTGTGTTTTGCTTTGTAATTTTTTATAAAATTTCAAAATTTATAGTTTTTGGTAGATTGTAATTAAAATGTCAATTTTCTTTCATTAAAATACTATAATTAACCATTTAAAGCTCGACTTTTTAAAATAAAACTAAAAAAAATTTTTTATAAAAAATCTTCATTTATATATATACACCAAAGATGAAATTTTTATTTCGACTTTTATTTCATAGTATAAAAAATCATGATACAATTTGACATCATTGAGCTACATGTATAAAAAAATATTTATTTATTTATTATGAAATGTTTTAAAACAATTCCTATCCTGGTTAAATAAATAAATTTCACATTTTTCACACTTTTTCTTAATTATGCGCTAACACATAGTTTACACCTTTTTCAAGTGTTGGAAGCTTCTGGCTAGTGCTCTATATTATCGTATCTAACGTCTGATATTATCTGAGGTAACTTAGATCCTTTTTGTATTTTTCTTTTACTAATTTTACCTGCCATTGATAAAGCAGTCACTATTTGAGAATTAAAAAAAAAAGTTTTATATTCATTTTTTTTTGAAGTAAATGTCTTCGATACAATAACCATGCATTCACAATGCAGGTATCAATTGAAATATTATTCGAAGATAGAACCTTCTACCTTTTATATCTACTCTGTAGCATTCCACTAGCATATAGTGTAAATCTCTCCCATTCCTTCATTATATTTTTTTAAAATACAAGGCCTAGTGATCTGAATAAAAATTTTTCCCGTCAAGAACCATCGCCTCACATCTTCTATTGGGTCGATAGTATTGAAGGATGATATAACATGAACAAATTTGTGGTCAAACCATTTGACAATTATATTATTATTAATGTCAATTTTGTAGTCGAAACTACCTCTCCCCTTTTTCTTGAGATCGCGATCGCTTTTCAAATTGCAACCTTTTAGGTAATTGGTGTGAAGTGCATTTATGGGTGAATCTATATCCATATTGACAATGGGATGATTAAAATTTCACTATCATCAATATCTGTTTCCGAAATATCACCTTCAATTATAATTATTTTATTTGACATCTATAAAAATAAAATATTTAAATTCAATGTTAATAAAATAACTTATTAAATTCCCAATGAATTAATTTGGGATCATAATTTTAAAATTGTATTTACAAAAATTTATAAAATTTAAAAAAATATATAAATTCATGAGGACATACTTGAATATTTTGTCTTCTTTATAAAATTAAGACTTTTCAGAATTTTTCAATTAAAATGTAAAATCAAGTAATTTAGAAAAAATCGAAACGGAAATATAGTCGAAAGTTACGTGATAATAAAATAAAAACAAGAGCATATTTTTTTTGATTAAAAAATATGATTGGATACATTCTATATTTATTTTAAAATGTTAAATTATGCAATATGATGATGTCAAATTAGCTCACAGGACTTTAAAGGGCTAAATAACTTAAATAAAACAAATTTGATAAGGACAATAAAAACAAGTCAATACGATACATCAGCTTAGCCACTCGACAGATTCTTATGCGAGACAGGAAAAGGTTGTGCTCCTTTCGCCTTGTTCCGGAGTTACTAGGAAAGTTTACTGATAATGACTCTAGTAGACCCGTGAAAGTTTTATGATGAGCATCTTCTAAGAATAGGCTTAAAATATAATACGAAGCGAATAATGAATTATTCGTGTTCGATTATTTTATCGAACAATTCACAATTCTTAAAAATAAAATTTACTATTCTTATTTGATTTGCATTCACATAAATGATTCAATTCGTTTAGGAATTGAAACAAATAATTTGTTACTTGATTAGTTTTCGAATAGGGCCTAATAAACAACAATCACCGTACAATTTTTTTTAAATTTTATAGCTTCAAAAATTAATGCGATTCATTTTAAAATAGATCCATTCCTCCATGGGTATATTCCCAGATCCAAATTAACAAGCGATAGCTAAATATATAACTTGTTAACGACCTCAAATAAATACCTATATTCTTATATTTTAAACAAAAATAATTAATTAAAAAGAGTAAAATCATTATTTGGATTGCTTTATGGAAATTAACTTTATTTTGACCCATATTCTTAGCCCTATCTATAAGTTTATTATAACCGGTTCAAGGGCCAATTCTTTTTTTAATTTTAAGAGTCACAAGTTTTGATTCAGGTTCTTATCTGTCCCGGTTATAAATTCTGTTTTTTTGGCGGTGTTGGTTTGGACATCGGTATCCGCTAAATAGGTGGTATCGGTGCGTCAAGACTAAATAGTGTGTTCTAAAACGAGCCAACCAAACAAAGTGGATGGCCACCTCAAGTATTTAGCAATGTAATGGAGATTTAGTACATTTTTAAGTGTATTGAACACAAGTAGACCATACTATATTGATTTAAAACTGCTTTTTTATGTTTCTATTCTGAGGCATTTGCTGAGATAGATAATAGATTCTGCAAGTTTTTAAAATTTTAAATTTGACTTTGCCTAAATATTTACGGGTTCTTTTTGATTGAAATATAGATAAAATAAAAAGGAATTTTTGAAAAGAAAGAAATTAATACATTTATTTTTTTTTAAAAAAATTTAATATAATAAATAATTATAAATTATAAAAAGTTTTATAAATGATTAATATAAAATGTAATAAAAATAATTTACATTGCCACATATTTGGGGAGTGGGGGAAATATTTATATTTTATAAAATAATAAGGCAATAGAGAATATAAAATAAAAAATGGGGTTATAAATAATTTTATAAATAAATATACATCTTTATTATAATTAACCGCAATACATGAATATTATTTTTAAATTAAAAATAAAAGGGTAGTAAGTATAAAGCTAAACATAATTACGTATACATATAATAATGGGGCGTTTTGGTCCATCTCACAAAAAACCTTTTTTTCGCAAATAAACCCTAATTTTCCATTAAAAAACTTTATATTATTTATTTGCGAGAAATCGTTTGATAAAGGAAAAAAATCAAAAATTATATACTTAAGAATATAAATAGTGTGTAATTATTATAAATTACAATAATTCATGAATAATTTCAAAATTTCCCAAAAGCAATATTTCAAGATGAGGGAATCAAAGCTTTAAGTATGTTTTGTACTTCTTCGCTGATGGCCAAGAAAGAAAATTCGTATTGTTCCTATTTTTTTTTAATAAAAAAATATTTTAATCAAAATATTTATTGAAATTTCATATATATTTTTTTCGTTTATTCTTATAAATAATAAACATAATAATAAGGAAAAAGAAAGAGTTAACTTTAGTAGCGACCATCTTCATCCTCTGATCTCTCAGGTATTCCACGGATGCTTCTATATCGATTTCTTTCACCCCTTCGTAATTATTTATTTTTACAAAAAATACGATTAAGTACAGGAAAATATATCATCAAAAATGTTGAATTTTGATGATATAACGGTGGTAGTCAAGTCATTGCGTCATTGAATAGAACTTAAAAATTTTACTCCTTAATTTTCAATCATGAATAATTATTTGCATCCCAAAAACTATTTAAATAATATCCTTTCACTCAATAATGCTCGAATTAGTATAATTCTTGAATTAAACAATGATTTTAAAAACCTTTATTTAATCGAGATAGAATCATATCTATTAATATGTACGTTCCAGTACGTCCTGATCCATCGCTTTACAAAAATTTATTTTTATTTAAAATTTTAAACATAAATTATTAAATATGAAATTGATGGAATAAGATAAATTTTTAAAAACCAACCTTTATAACAATATTATATACCTGTGTTTAGTGTTGTTAAACGACTCAATTTGAGTCGATTCTCAAAAACGGCCAACTTAATATTTAATCCAAAAAAATATAACGCAAGACTGAAAATTGTGCTAATAGATGACACAAAGGTTTGGACATCTATTAACAAAATATTGAGGCTCAGGCAAATTATTTCTGGCCAAAATATTTAGTTAGCCGTTTTTAAAATTCGGTTCAAATCAAGCTGTTTAACACTATGTGTATTCAATTTGTTTACCTGTTACAAATAAAAATGATAATTAAAAATCTTAGAATCAATTTAATAATCACATTTAACTCCTCTTTCAACGAGTATTGACATGGCCTTAATTGAATCCCAAAATATTTCAATGAGTAAATATCTTCCTACTGGGATTCAATCTGTCCAAAAAATGGTTTATGCATCTAGAGCGAAAAAATAGTATTACAAAAAAAAATAAACCTGCAATGGACAACGATAGGTGTAGATCTCCCTTTGTATGATTTGTTGATTTTCCTTTTTTATATACAAAAAAAATTAAAATAGGAATAAATAATTTTAATAACAACACAAAGGCAAAGAGCCGATCATATCTGCTATATATTTTATAAAGGGAAGCTATATAGCGTAAGCGATCGACGCCACAAAGCATAAAAAGAAGTATGATTACAGCACGTGATCTAAATCATCATAATATGTTTATAGATAAATGAAGGAATGCGGATTAGTTTCTAAAATTTTTTTACTACTTTTCAAAAATCTTAGCCAATCAAAATTTAAATTTAGACATTTTTGTATTAAAAAAAAACTTTGCATCGAGCTAAGAATCTTGCATGTAAATTGAGTGGATTTTCGATATCCCGCTCTCAAATGATACAAAAAATAATAATAAATAAAGTGGATAAGCGATAACATCGAAAATGGGCATGCGACAAATAAGAGAACATTTATTTGCTAGCTAATAATAATAGAAAAAAAAGAAATATAAACTAACCATAGTGATAATGCGCAAAAAATATTCTCTTTTAAAAAAGATTGAAAAAATATATATATATGAACAACGATAAATATACATTTCAAACCAATTACGATATCAATATTTATAAAAACTGACAAGAAATGGTTTACCTTCATTTAATTTTCGGAGGAGAAAAAAAAATTGAATCCAAAACTTTCCAAAATCTTAGAAGTCGTTATAAATTTATTTTTGTAAGAAAGGCATTCTCGAATTTTATTGATTTAAAAAAAATTGGGGGGTTTTATTTTTATTTGACATAATAATATAAATATAATTTATGTAATCTGACACGATAAAAGAGGGAATTTATGATAATGAAAAGACATCGTAATTTTATATATCTAGACTAGAGCTCACAAATCAAATTTTATCTTTAGCCGGAGTCCGGCTTGAAATTTTAAATTAAAAACATAAATTAGAATGCGCTTTTATGATGTAAGGTTTCAAAAAAAATCACTAATTTGTATTTTATCTTTATCACAGAGAAAATTTTAATTATCGTTGACATTTTTATATTTTTTCTAAAATATATAATTTTTAAATTCATGCCTGCCGGAACCCGACTTGCGCTCTAATATATACTGCGATGAAAAGAAATATACATTTAAAAAACGAAAAACGAAAGGAAATATAAATTTTTTTAGTTTTAAATTTGAATAAATTTTAAAAAGTAAATCACAATATACCATAAAGAGATGAGTATGGGGATAAGGCAAGCAAATTTTTTATTAACAATTAAAAAAGAAAAATTGGTAAAATTTAAAAAAATAGCTCTCTTTATTAAGTTTTTATTTAAATCAGTAAGAAGTAGATGCAAAAAATGGTATCAAAAAATCAGTTATAATATTCTTTTTAGAGTGACAAATTAATTTTTTTTAAAAATAAATTAAACAAATAAATTCTAAGGCTAAGCATTTAACTTCTTAAATATGATATTTTCAGTTGCATATTCCTTTGTGAGAATTATTAAATTTAAATTTTAGAGAGCATCGCATATATAACAGGGTTTTATCTCCACTTCAATTAATTTTGCAGAAGAGTAATATGTTTAAAAAATATAACCTCCCATGTTGTAATCAAGGAATACATTTTTAAATATTTTTAAAAATTAAAAATATAATAGATACTCCCTGACCTAATTTCGACAATTGTGAAGTAAAACCCTGTACTTAAGTAATTACATGAATTTAAGTAAAAAGTTGGTAATTTTTTTGAATCTAATGAATGGCTAATAATACGTCCTAAAATAAAAATAAAATAAGTTAAAAATTGTTAAAAGATAGGGAAAAAAAAGTCGTTTTTTTAACTAGAAAGTAGCTACAAAAAACGTTAAAATTAAAATTCTTTTAAAAACAAAGGTTTTAATGAATTTTAAATAAAAAAAATTTTTTATTGTAAATGTTGAAGCCCTGACTTAATTTCGACCAAAAATTGTGAAGTAGTTAGAACCCTGTACTTAGGGTATATATTACATTAATTTAAGTTATGCCTATTATTTTTTGAATTTTTTAATAAAGAATGGCTAATAATACGTTTAATATAAAAAATAAGTTTAAAAAAGTTATTTTTACTTTTTTTAAAAAAAAACAAGATAATACTAAGAAGTGGCCTAAAAAACGTTTAAAATTAATATTCTTTTAAAATCGAAAGTTTTTTATTTTTTAAATAAGATTCAAAATTTTTTAAAAAAATATAGCCTCACCCATCACTTTTGTGACTATGCAATTATTAAATTTTTTTGGATACGTTTTTTTTCATGAAAAAAAACAAGTCAAAGAAAGAAAATTATGGTTGTAAAATAATTTTTTCGATGGCTTTTTATTATTTTCTTTTAAATAAATTGCTAAATCACAAAAATGATGCCAGAAACTAATACGATATGATAAAGGAAATGGGGTTGGAGACGAAGATGGAGGAATTGTGAATTAAAATAAAAACGGCTTCAATCTCTCACTTTTTCAAACTATTTTTTTTCTCTTTATTCTTCCTTCCGTACTTCCTATATTTCTTCGCTAACTGGGGTTTTCCTCAAAAATAATTTAAACAAGGAGTGTGCCTATTTTTTGAGGATATGCATATTTCCTTTATTTAAATAATTTTCTGCTCACATTATATAAAAAATATATTAAACAATTTTCATATGCAATTTTTTTTCTAATTAATATACCCCGATAATGTTATAATTAAAAATAGGATAGAAGATATCATCGGTCGAATTTGTATCGGGTCGGATAATGCCGGCCTCTAACTGTATTGGTACACCCCTAGATTTAAATATGTAACCACCCCCATGAACCTACTTAAACATATAACGGTTTTAAAACCTCCTAAATTCGAGCAAAGTTTTTGTGTCACTAGGGACACCATCCGAGCACCAGGCCGTGTAATGGAAAGAAGTCAGGGTTCGCGTTTCGTTGGAGGATAAATTTTTCAGGTAAAAGCTTCTCACAACGTAATCATTGCACCACAAATGCTCGCTCACTAGATATACCTATTTTTTAAATATAATTTACGGAAAAAGAATAGAATAAAGTAAATAAAACATGAAAAAATAGAATAGAAGAAAATTAAATGAATGAAATTGCAAATTAGTCTAATAGGAAAGGTGATAAGAAAATAATAGACAACATAATATGATAGAATGAAGTATAAGAGAGCAAAGAAATGTGAGAAACTTCATAAATGTCGTAGAGTTGGACCCCTTTGTCTGGCCAGTACTTGAAATGGGTCTGTTTCTCCTCCAGGTACTCCTGCTTCGAAGTCAGGTTAACTATTATGCAAATACCACGATCCCATACCAACTTTTTGCATTTTTTAAGATAAAAAAAATAAATATAATGAATAAATTAAAATCTTGTGACTGGAACAACATTCAGATAAACAATCTTAATCTTAAAATATATAGTTTCGAAATATATTTTATTTTTATAATTATTCTAATTCCCATTAATCACTTGATTTTATAACAAGTTTAGGAATATTAATTATAAAATTGAACAAATTTATTCTTTATGATAAAAAGCTTACAAGTTTTTAAATCCTTTTTAACTGAATGCAAAAAAAAAGATTTATTACCTGCCAAAAGTCACATGCCGATTCGTGTTCAACAGGGCCTTGGGCCGCAATGTAAATAGGTCGTCTGGGATCTGACTCGCAAATAGGACTGGCGTTTATAAACTTGAGATAATTCGCCTTTGATTCGTTACCCTCTAAAATTGTTGAGGCATTAGTTTCTTTCGAGATTCGCGTGTTAGAGGATTCTCCGTTTTCAGTCCTTCGCCATGCCAATTCTATTCTATTGAAAGGGTAAGGTAAGGTACCCCATGGGTTCCTGGCCTGGAAAAAAATTCTAATCTGTATAAGTCTATTAAAACCGCCCATAAGTTACAACCTTCACCTATCCCTTACGGTACATTAATTTTTGATAAATATGAATCATTTATGGTTTATAATTTATTTCGAACCAATAATCTTTAGATAAAAATAAAAGGAGTTTTACATTCCCTCATTTTAATTAATAAAAGAGAAAAAACTTGAGAAAGACGGGCTCCGTTTTCGGCCTTGAGCCATATAGATCGCCTACGGCGCGATTTTTCGTCATTCTTTGATTCAACAGGCTTGATCTCCGGAGTGCTTGTCGTTTCTGAAATATTCTCTATAATTTCCGTCGCTTTATCGGCCAAATATTCCACCGAGCCATTCTGAAGGGCCGAATCGTCCCCTTTCTTCTCGGTCTCACCCGGGAGCAGCAAATATCTCCATTCCTTGAGAAGTATTTCGTATTGAACCTTTGGAGAACTAAGGGATTTGGGAGGAAGTAAATCGAGATCGGTGGAGTGGAAAGAGGAAGCTTCCGTAAACGGTGAAGGCACGTAATCACAGAGCGAGTTTGACCATTCGTTAAGCGTGAGTTGGCGGTGGGCTAAACGTTTCGACATATATTCCTTTTTGTTAATAAAAAAGATTATCTCTCATATTGGTGATCAGAATTTTCGAAAACCTATTAAACACGATTTGCATCGCCTTACAAGATCTCGATCCTTTCCTGTTAAATGTTTTCATTTTATGGGAGAAGGGCCTCCTATCCTTTTTTTCATCGCATATACTCACGCCATTTAATAATATGCCTAACATGTTTCCTCGCCGATTCCCAACCAGCTTTGTGCTAATTGGAACTTAGCTCCTACTTTCGAATGGTTAATTTCAATTATGAAAAATATTATGAAAATGGAATCCCCACTTATTATTTATCATATTAAATCATCTTAGGTTTCTAATAATTTTTCCTGAGCCTTGACTAATAAACAAATAATATGTTGTCAAAAAGAGTTTAAACGATTAAGTCATATAGATCAACCTCCTTATCCTTAATCTGATATCTTTAATAAAAAAAAAATCTGCTTTTAATAGGGGAGTGGGAATATTTATTCTATTTCTCGTATCAATTCTCTAATCTAACTAATCATAAAACACAAACCCTTAAGTTAAAGAAAATATTCAAATAAGCTCACTTCGAGATCTATATAATAACAATCTGCAAGCTAATGATATATATATTAGAATTCTGCAAATTACGGCCAGGTCCGTACCCTTATTTTTTTAAAATAATTTCGGATTAGGCTGGGTTGGGCCTAATATTTTTTAAAAATTTCGGGTCGGGCTTAAATTTTCAAATATGATATTACATTTTGTCAAATAAATTGATATATTTTAAACTCTTGCAAGAAACAAGAAGCTAATATTTTATTTGAATAATATTTTTTTTACAATAAAAAAAAATTATTTTTCCATATTTAAATTAATCCGGGCCTGGCCGGGCGGACAAATAATTATATTTTTATTTAGGTTCGGGCTTTCCGGGACAAATAAAAAAATTTTCTGGCTGGGCCGGGCTTGAAAAATTAGGTCCGATTTAAATCACTAATATATATTTAATTAAATAGAAATAGACTGTATTAGATAGGATAGAAAGAGTTGTAAGTCGTAATAAGTAAAAATTCTTAGTAAGGACAATCAATAACGTTACCAGCCCTGAGATAAAACATTCACTTAAATCATCTTCCTTTTTTGCTTCTTTAACACATAACCCTGCATTCATAGTTAGCGCGAATTATATAAAAATAGACAAAAATATAGCGTGTATGCAGGGCAACTCCTCATTCAGAGTTATTTGGGGTGGAGAATACAAATATATACCGTTTTGTATTTGTATAATTAGCCATGAGGGAAGGATAAGAATATCTTTTTAATTAATTTTACCAATACTAAACGACCAGTAGTGGGATCCATTTTGTTGATTAAACCTTCTTCGTTCCTGATAACCGCAAAATAATAATAAAAAAATCAAAAAAATATAAAATGTTAGTTATCGAAATTGTGTATTATATTATAATAAGGGATCCTAAAAGAACTTTTTTTTGTCTTACCATATCTTTCCATTAAAATTTTTACTTTCATAACTGTTCCTAGTGTTTCTGAGAAATCGAAAAATTCTGAAAATCTCGGTATGATAATTTTTAAACTAATGTTTCCATCCTAATCCCCATGTTTCTCGAAAATATATCACTTTTTGGTTACGAAATGTTCCGAGCCTCTGCAGCTTATTAACATGATAATAATTTTAAATTTTATGAAAAATTGAGTCCCTATATTTAAATAATTTTTAAAAAAAATTCTCCCACTATGTTACTTTTAACTTCTTATATACTTTATTTCTGCTATTCTTATTCCTCCTCTCTTAAATAAATTTTAATCCTTCTTTTTTTCTTACCATGTATTTCTTCTGCTCTGCGCAGACCCCGGATTATTGGTAACCAAATGATGGTTCAGACTGTTTTCGCTAAATTTTCTGGCGTCCTTTTGGGAACCGGTTTTAATCACACTATTTTTCTTTCTGTTCTTATCAGTCGTCCTATGTTGTTAGTAAATTTAAATAAGTATATATTTTTTCCGCAAACATTTTGAGAAAAAACTTTAAAGATCTTCAAAATTGAAATCCTTTTTTATAAAAAAAATTTGTGATTCCATCATGAAAAGATTTTATATGTACATAAGAATTCAAAATGATTTGAAATTTTAGGCCAAATTTGATCAGAGCATTTTCAAGAAAAATCTTCATTGGTTTTTTTCATCTTCATTTTTATTTTAAGCAGTTTACGAAAATCCTAATAAAAATAGAATCAGGAATGACAAGACTTTTAAAGTAATGTTGGGCGATTCAATATTTAGAAAATAATATATTCTGGTTATGAAATTGCTAATATTTAAGGAAGGTCATTTACTCTAATTTTTTATTCTATTTTATTTTCTTTTTGCTTTAATAATAATCAAAATAAATTTTGCAAAATTTCCCCTTCCCTGCTTACTTAACGTTTCTAGACTTTTGGGATTTGTTCGTCTCTTTGTCCCGAATGAAAAAAGCTGCCAAATTCTTCATCAACCCTATATTTTCTTGACCAGCCAACGTAGGGGATTGTTTGGGAGAATTCGATTCCTAAATAATTGATTTGAAAAAGGGATGGAATAAGTGCCAAAAAAATAAAATTAAAATCTTAAATTTTGTGTGGGCTATTTCAATTTTCCTAAAAGTAAAACCGTCGATTATTTAAATTTAGTCTTTTGACAGACATAAACAATGTGAAAATGAAGCGAAATCCTAATATTGAATTTTTAAAACAGTGAATGTCAGTAAGTTTAGGGAAAATGATAACGAGTAAGATAATCAAAGTTTTCCGGGATTTTGATTGAAAATAATAATATAATTTGTAATTCTGGTTGTTAAAAAAGAATAAAATAGTTCAAAAATTATTATTTTTAACTAATATAAGCGTAATGTTAGAGAGAAATTTTGAGTGAAGTTATCACTCTAAACTAATGAAGAATTCAATTTTGATAAAGTTTTATTCATCAATACAAATTGGTAACGCGAAAAAAAATGTGCGTGAATAAACGTAAAGAAGGAAGATATAAATACACAACTAATTTTCAATATTACCTTTTTCCTCGAACTCCGGTCCTTATCTTCGCTACTCTGTGGGGTAGCGGATTGACGTGGACGGGCCCATTTGGGGGTAGCGTACCTCGTCGCGCTTCCCTCTTTCTCGCGGCCTTTCAATCCTAGTTCCTCACTTTCCGTATTTTCATCGCTGCCCATATCTTCAATAAGCCCTTTTTCGTAACCGTCTCCGTCTTCTTTTAGCTTCTTGTTTCTGCGGTAATGTAGTAAAAGGTAAACACCTACGAATAGGAGTACCACTGTCAAGGTCACAAGTAGGACGGACGATATGAAGAGGATTTTGCTCTTAAGTTGGATCTTGTCATAGTTTTTGAGCCGACTTCTCAGGGTGCCTTCGCCGGGCTCCTCGAGGAAAAGGTTGTCTGAGTAGGAGGGAGATAAAGCCATAGATTTTGCAACTCTGGAACCGATTTGCTTGTCCTGTTGCCATATGTATGGTTCCTTCTCTAGCTTGGCCTTTATAGGGAATATTTTATAATTAAGAATTAAATTTTAAAACAACATTATTAATAATTTTTACTCTGTAAAATGTAGTGTAATTTAAATAAAGGACAAAATAAATTTAAAAATAAAAGGAGTATTTTTATTTTAATAAGACAGCACTAAAAGTATACAGATTTACACTTGACTAAATTTAGCAGGTAAAATTATCGAGAATATTAAAATGAATTATAAAAGTTTTATATTCGTATATAGGGTGGGTATATAAATATTATGAGATAAATCTGTAAGTAAACACCATGACAGGGGTAGTATATAAAGCCAAGGGTCCCCTCCATTTAGGTGTCCATTCAACATTAATTCAGAGACGATTGCAAAATATATAAAACAAATATTAAGCATATCGAAAAGTTAAAATATCATATTACTGGATTCGAAATATCGTAATTACAGGAAATTTGTTTATTAATTAATCCTATTGCTAAATTTGTAACTAAAAAATATGAAACAAAAATTATAATAAAAAAATTATATAAAAAATTTAATGAAAATAATTAGACCTATAAGTATACTAGAGTAGAGATCTGCAAAGTTAGACCCGGCCCGTGCCCGGCCCGAACGATTTAAAATAATCGGGTTCGGGCCGGGCCTAATATTTTTATAAAAAAATCGGGCTGGGTCGGGTCGGACCTTGGAAATTTTTTAAAATATATCTATAAATTTATCAATTTATATTAAATTTTTTATGAATAAAATTTTTTGATTTTATTTATTGAAACTAAACGCCATATAACATATGTCTTTTATTTTGAGTAATTATAAAAATTAATTTCTACATTTAAATAAATTCGGGTCGGGCTGGTTAATTTTTTAAAAAAATTTTCGAGTTCGGGCCGAGCTGGCAAAACTTTTTTAAAAAATTTCGGGTTCTCGGGCCGGGCCGGGCTTGAAAAATTAGGCCCGATGCAGATCACTATACTAGAGTCTAACCCCCATTTTATTAAGGCCTTAAGGAGACCCAATCTAAATTTTAGAATAGATCAACTTACCCCAAATTATGTATATTATGGCCAGTCAGCCCTTGCACACAAAATATAAATTTTTTTTAAAAAAAAACAATTAAAATTTATAATCTATTTCTATAAAAAAAATTATATTAATCCCGGTCCAAAATGCTACAAATTATTTTTAAATAGTTCCCTTTTAAAAAGATTTTCAATTATAAATTGGTAAATGATTGACGTTAAGCAGAAAAACTTTCGAGGAAAAAAAAATAAAAATATTTTAGACTTTTGGTTATTCGCGAAAAAAAAAGAAGATATAATTAAAAAATCGATATAATAGACATGGGACAGAAATCAAATCATCCTCCAATTTAAAGTGACCACTTTGATATTGGTTTATAATAAATGTGATCATTTTACAGAAGTTCTGTAAGCAACTTTTTATAATCTTAGCATAAATAAGCAAAGAATGATCAAAATAAATACAATTTGTATATATGAACAAAATAAGAAAATATAACCCTTATACACAACCGCACTCTTTAAACCTCGTCAATTAAAATTTCAAAAAAAAAGAAGTATTTTTTTTTAATTTTACGAGTAAATAATAATTTGTAACAAATTTTGAAAAGAGGTGAGAGGGGAAAGTTTGAACTTTTTATAAATATTTCTATTTGGGAAAGATTTGTCTTAAAATGATAGAGAATACAGTTTTAAAAAAGCAAGAAGAAATTCTCTGAATCAAATTAGACAAAAGTCGTTGACTCTGAGGGTTATAAAATGGCTCTTTATGAATTAGGCATATTATTTTTTTTATAACGGTAAAATTATCATACAAAAAAATATACGAATACAAAATAAAACTTGCTTTTTAAAAATCAATAAAACTTTTTATAAAAAAAAAAATTATGAAAAAATGAAAGAGGGGAGGGGTGGTTTAAAAAAGAAGAAGAAAGTTTAAGGATTTGTAGAAAAAAAATAAAACTTCCAAATATGACCATCTCCTTATCCTGAATCTCTTTAATTCGTTCCCTTCCCTGACATAATCCTATATGAAATTTTACAAGGGGTCGAATTTTGTGTAAGTTGACTAAAACACTAACCGCACCAGAGTGATCACCTTATGGAGTTATTTATAATTAGACTTATCTTTATTTGAGAAAAAGTTGTTTTGGTTATAAAAAAATAGTAAACCTTCTTATTGATTTTTCGATAAAATAAATGTTGTATACTTAATTCTTCTCTATTCTCTTATTTTCTCTTGTTCCCCTTAATTCATCTTTTCTTAACCGTAGATATCCACTTCATGGTGGAAAGGGAGGGGGTAAGGCATATCATTATTGAAATTGGAAGAGGGTAGTGAAGTGGGCACTATTGATATTAGAATAAAATTGGAGGAAAGTAGAGGAGGGATTTGTTTTTTAATTTCTTTTTTTTTGCCATGAAATGGATTTCCTATTTTCCCTTAATTTGGATTTCCATTTATTTTTCGATAATTTGGTTTACTATTTTGATTTGGTAGACCATTGAGAAGTGCCCTCCTTCCAACGTTCCTTCCAGAATTTTTTATTTGTTTTTCCAAATAATTTACAAATAAGAACAAGAAACATTTTTTTTTAACTCGTAAATTAGGTAATTCGGTAAAACGATGAAACTTTTTCTTAGTTTATCATTTATTATTATCAGAGATTTGCAGACTCCGGATGCCCCGGGTCTTCTAAATATTATAATTTCAAATATCCAGCCGGGATTAAAACATTAAAAAATCCGGGCCGGGACTAAATATTTTAAAATTAAAAAAATATACGGGGCGGGTCGATTTTTAAGAAATAAATTTAAATTATACCAATTAACCAGTTGGAAAATCATGTAATAGACCGTTTAATATTTTTTTAATGCTCATATTTTTGATTCCCTTTCGAAATAATTTACAAAATAGAAACAAAATTATTCAAATAAACAAAATTTTCAGAACGCGCCGGTCCGTAAAATGATGATAAATAAAAACCAGGGCCGACCAAAAAATTTTCAAGGCCGGCTCTAAAATATCGATCTCTGCAAGGTCTATTATTTTTGATAAATGACGGCAAATAAATTCGATTGTGAAACTAATATTTACAAGGTATATCCAAATGCTTTTAAAATTTCAGGCGTCTAAATGCTTAGGCCTTGTCCTGGTGCGTCTTATTTTTAAAATTTATTTTTGTATAGCCAAAGCTAACCAGATTTTGAACTAGGAAATCCTTATTTTTGATTTGTTTTAACATTATTATATTTATTTTATACAAATAAAACAAAAGCACGTTACAACTTACATAAATCTAAATATCCTCTTTCTTTTTAGGCTGTTTAAGGCTAAAAAGCCTGTTTTTAGAAATAAGACGCACATGACTATTTCCAGTACTTACTCCTCTAAATATCAAAAAAACAGAAAACAAGATCTGTCACCGTTTTTGAGACCAAATAAAATTGTTCCGTTCTATGGAGGGGCAAAAAAAATAAATATAATTGCCTCAAGTTATATAACTCCTTCTTAATTTTGAATAAAGCATTCTATTCAGAAAAGCAGCGCAGGACAAACTTTTTAGTTTTTGAAATAAAATTTAATAACAAAATCATAATTCTATTCAGACTGCTATTTAGAAATTCTAAAAGATAATCTACATATTACCAATTCAAAGTCGCAGCCTTATTCTCTTTTTTAGGAAATAAAACATATAAAAAAATGTATATATTTGATTTTTTTTATCTTACTTATCGGGTGATGAAACTCTCGCTCGCTACTCAGACCAAAGCGAAGAATAAAAAATTAAAGAATCCTCATAAACGTTTTGCTACGTTACACGATTCATTATCTAAGATAAAAATCTATTTTCATATTTTAGAGGTATTTTTAATCTTTATCAGAAAATGATTTTTTATTTTTTTAAATTAAGATATAAAACTTATACGCAAAATAAATTATGGAAAATAGAAAAATAGGAGAAAATTATATTCTCCTTTAAAAAAAAAAAAGATTAAAAATGAATTTACGTCAATTGACAGAATAATAAATTTAAAATTTTTCAAAATTTTTATTTTCTTTTTTTAGAAAAATTTATAATTTATTTATTTTATTTTTATTAGAGAAGAATTCCATTTTATTGATCTTTTTCTTTTTATTTCGCCTTTTTTTAAAAGATTATTGCGAAACATAGATAGATATTCAAGGTCCTTTTTACTTATTTCTTATTTAATCTTTTCTCGCTTTTTTTAAAAAACTTAATTTTCTTTCTTTTTTGTGGTGAAGAAATTTTATAATATAGATTTTAATTTAATTCATAATATTTAGCATATAATATATATGATCAAAACCAAGAATGATCGAAAACTATTTTATTTTAAATTAAACAGGAAGATATACTCGAAAATTTTAATTTGTAATAAATAATTAAAGGTTTATAAATATAATATCTAATAGGGATTCAGATCATTAGGTGATTCTTAGCAATTCTTTTCATAGTTTTGCACCCAACTGCCGGAACCTTAAAAATACTATAAATTGATCTTTTGGTGGGGAAATTTATTTTACGTATTTTGACCAGAAATTGCATATTTTGATTACTCCTTGTCATATTTATGGTGGTAAATAAGCAGATTCGAATTAGAATTAGGCTATGGCGAAATATCGTGATGTCGTTCAAACAATGCGTAACTCTTAAAAATACGATAGCATAGTTAGCATAGTTGTATAATTTACATTATGTATCTTATAAATTAAGTATGGCTTGGACATCGTGGTATTCCGCGTACTATAAACAAGGCCTTAGGGCAAAAAAAATATGCAATATATTATAGCTTAATATAAATAATTAGTAAATGACTATAGGTAATATTAATCATAATAATGTAAATATTAAGGTTATTTATGCGACATTTTTATATTACAATATTGACTTATTTAATAAGTATGTGAGAATAGCAAAAAAAAGGCACCTGCATTATTTCATGGGGGGATGAGGGGAGACGGGCTGTATTTAGTTAGGGGAGGGGGGATAATTATGGTCTTGCCCAACTAAAAAATATACAATTTGTTCTTACAAATAAATCAAAAACAAATTTTATATTTGTTCTTTTTTCCCCAAAATTAAAAAAAAATAAGGGCGGTCATTCATTTATTTGTAATAGTTTAATCAAAATATCGAGTGAAAGAAAAACAAACATATCACCTCATTAAAATTAATTGAAGGGAGTCATATATATAATATTTTAGAAATTTCGTTTGTTTCTAAATATAATAGATCCAAATTTTAGGAAGGCTAAAAAAAATTATATATTTATCCGTAAAACGACAAATTGCATTTTAAAAAAAAATAATTATATGTATTTTTTTAAAAAAATTAAAGGCAAAGTTAAGTAGGGGAAAATGTGAAAGGAAAAAATTTATCATATAATAATTAAATTATAAATTAAAATGTTAGCTAAATTTAAAGTATAATTTAAATCAAATTATAATAGTGTCTAGCCGTCAAGAAATAAAAAGATAACATAATAAAATTTAATTATGAATTTATATATATAGGTTTTCGCAAATAAATCAGTATAATAAATATTTTATTAAAAAATTCAACCAGAGCCCAGACTGATTAGTGACCCTTTACTATCTGAGCAACTGCCCAAATTTATACTTTAAATATTTTTTATAAAATGATAAGGAGGTGATTGAGTACAATGAATAACTTACTGGCTAGACTTTTATTTTTATAATGAAAAAGAGAAGAGGATTTAAATTTATTATACTTTTCAAATAAAGTGCATAATGATAATAATGATATGAAACAAATTTAACAATGCCAAATCTAATTATAATTTTATGGAAAAAAAAAATCTATTACAAAATAATATAAAGTAAATAAATCGATGTTGAAGTATATTTAGATCTGAAAATTCTAAATAATTTAATTAAAGTATTAGATACTGATTAAATTCAATTATTTCGAGAAATATATATAATGGTATATTTAGAATTTTATTTAGTTAGGACGTTCAAAATAGTCGTTAATGGGGGATATATATAGCACGTTTTGAGCTTATACACTGGATTCAGTCTTTGCTTCTAACTGATTCAACTTTAAATAAAATAGTTAAATAAATTCAATATCACTTCTTGGGTTTTGGTAATTAGCTTTGCTTCCCATCATCCACTTATTGTTCAATCAAATTAAACAAAGCTAAATATATAATTTCTAAACTATACTTTTTACCTTTCACCAAGGATATTTTTTTAGCTAGATGATTCTAATAAGACATGTTCAAATGAATAACTGGTCCGGTAACAAAAATGCAATGTGAGTGTACTTTAAATACACCAGAGGAAATCTGCATAAATGTTTTATGTGTTGCTGTTGGGTGAGAATTAAAAAATGACTTATAGAGAATGTTTTTAATAACAGAATTTATAGGTAAAATGAATGTGAAATAATTTTTTTTACTAATTATTCATTAAATGTTAGGCACAACTAAACATCGTAGTTAATGGAGTCAATTAATTAGTGGCATGTCGAAATGACAATTATTAGCAATTTGTATCATCCCTCAATCTCAATGTAATGTTTTGTCTGAATTCATTATTTCAAATATATTTTAACATTTATGTTGTTTTTGTAATAAATATATTTATATTGTAATTTATACTATTTTTTGTAAATGTTAAATTTAAGTACTCAGAGACCAGATGGGAAAAATGACTTGAATGACTTAAATTGGGTAAATTAAATACCTAACCCAAATTATGGTGTAATTTTTTGATATCATAAATTTATACTTTTTATATTTAAATATAATATTGAATAAACAATAAACCTTCATCTATCTAATTCTAACATACTTTAGCTATTAATACAATGAAGTGTATCCAAGAAATCCTAAAAAATATCATAAAGGATGCTTTTGTAAATCATATATATATATTAATTCTTAACATTAAATAGAATATTAAATTTAGCCCAAATTATCTATTAATATTAAAAAAAATTCTAAAATGAAAATAATAGGATTTCCTGTTGCTACACTAAGAGATCCTAGTAGCATCACTAAGTAGTGCGCTGGGGCTGGAGCCCATTCAAAAATTTGAAGAGCCCCATTTTGATTTTTTTATATAGGATAAAGTTAGCTTAAAAAAAGCTAATTTTGGATAAAGTTAGCAAAAAAAATGATAATTTTGTAGTTAGCTAAAAAGTAATTTTGGATATATTAGCTAAAAAAAAAAAAGGTAATTTTAAAAATAAATTTTTTATGAGGCCCCTGAGATTGTAAGGGCTATGACGCCCCTGAGAGATCCGATATTGTATTGATACTTATAAAGCCCAATGGTATCTCACAAAGTGTACTCGTAAATAAGCCATATTTTGCGCAACTAATATTTTGTCAAAATTGTTAGGCTATTGAAAAAACTCACAAATAATAAATAGGTATGTTGTTAGTCATTATTTTAATATATGAAAAATTATGTTGTTCCTCAAAATATCTGTGCCATACTAAAAAGATATTACTAACGGTAGTTTAGATCAACAAGATTAAATCAATGATTCTCTTGAAATAAAAATTGCGATCTAACTCAATTTTATCTTTTTTTGGATTTTATATAATTATTACATATTGTTTATTGTATATTTTCAAATAAAAACATTTTACTTTTTACGGTTAATGTTAGCTATTGCCAAGTCAACATATAGCAATTCTAAACAACAACCAATTATTTTTTAAAATGCAATAAGGTCCATTTTTTATATATTCTGAGATAGAATCAGGCTGCCACTTCCGATCTACTATATATCATACCCCGTAACACGAAACCACCTAGTTGGCTTCAGGAAAAATGCTAGATTCCTGCTGGAATCTAGATCTATAGGCCAAAGACGTTTTCCAAAAACGATGATTTTTTTAAAATATATATTATAACCATATGTGGCAATGTTGATCCAACAAAAAAATATATAAAATACCGATTCGTTTAACACTTCCTTTGGTAGTAACCAACAACAACCTCATATAATTATAATGTGCATGTAAGTTCTAATTAATTGTAAATGTTTATTATAAACTATTATTTAATACCGATACCTGAGATCATTAATGTTGATATAATAAACGAAACTTCGATAAAAATAATTTAAATATAAAATTTTTATTGAATAATTATTTATTTTTTTAAAAAAAATAATAATATTAGATAGTTATATATAAATTAATTCTTAGTAGGGATGTACCGATATTTTTTATGGGATCAGATCGGGCCGATATTTCACCTATTATAAAATATCGGTTATCAGCCAATATTATAAAATTTGCCGATCCGATCCGATCCTATATAAAATGGCGCCCTTAACAAAAATAAAAATTTTAAAAAAGTTATATTTAAAATCATTTATTTTTATAAATAAAATCGAAATCCATATTTTTTTTAATAATAATAATTAATTAATTAACATTCTGCCATATTGTTATTTTTTTGCGCATTCTGTTTATAAAAGTGTGCGATAATATCTTCAGAATCTGTTTTTAGTGAAGCTGGTGATATTGACAGTTACCATCGCCGCAGGCTGATTTCTGATAAATAGGAAATTTTAATATTTCTAAAAAGAAATCTTCGATATATTAATGTTAAATATTATTTTAAATATTTATTTAAATTTCATAATGTATTTGTTTATTACTTATTATGTATATAGATTAATTTTGTTACTTATTATATAAAAGTGATTTATAATAAAAATATTTTATATACTTTTAGGCAATAGAATTGAATATAAACTATAACTGATCATTATAATATATTTAAATGACATAAGTTATGGTATAATTAAATTATAGATGTTATACTAATAAAAAGTATATTACAAATTAAAACCTTGGTATCTTTACAGAATACAAAATTAAATATGATATCGGATCGGTTATCGGCCGATATCAATTTAATATCCGAAATATCGGATCGGATCGGCCTCCAAAAAGTGGTATCGGTACACCCCTAATTCTTAATTTATATCTAAAAAAAAATAATTAATTAAATTAAAATAAGAAAACATCTATAAACATTAAAATTTATCTTTTTAATTATAAATGTTTTAAATATACTCTATTTTATAGTCAATGAAAATTGTAATTTTAAAAAGGAAACTAAAGTTTAAAAAAAAATATATCACATAATTTTATTAAATTGGGTTCTCAAAAAGAAACTACTTAAAAAAATTTATTTGTATTATTTTTCTTCTTATAAATAAACAATTCACATGGCTAAATCGAGATTTTCGTCAAAAAAATATTATCTAAGCCTATAAATTTGGTCAAAAGAGGGCCAAATCTTATTGTCCATCTATACTCGAAGTCCCTTAGTAATATAGCCATATTTTGCGACAAACGTAATTTCACCCCCAAGGTCACAAGAATTTTTTTATATTAGGCTAAAAAAACTACAAATAAAAAATTAAAATTTATCATTTAAAAATATAAATTACGTCAGATCCTATGCCAGCTGACTGAATCTTGATACTTCCTCCAGCCGCTGCTTCCAGTTTGGATTTAAAAACCTCTAAAATTAAAAAAAAATAGACATTTAAAAGTATTTAAAAGTATTTGGCTAAAATTTAATATTGTAAGAATAAGAACTATGGAGTTTCCTTTTAATTTTAAAGATATTGCCAAGTTTCTTTTTATATCTAATTACAATAATATATTGTTGAATAAATGCTCAGGATTCAGGAATAACTTTCCAAAATGAAAACAACTTATTATATTTTTTTTAAACTTAAAGAAATTTTCCTAGTTTTAAAATATTTAGAATATTAAGAATCAATTGTTGGTGTCATACCTTTTTTTTAAAAAAATATTTTAATTCAAGGTGAACCGGATGATGTTTTTCAAAAAAGAATTCCAAGGAATTGAACCGGGAAAAAAAGATTTCTGAAAATTTTATTTAAAAATCTCGGGTGCCTGCAAATAAGGTCCGATAAGTTTTTAATAAAGTCGGTGTTATAATGTAATTTACGTGTGAGGGGAGAGGGTTGAGGATATAGGAAAATGATGAATAATTTCTTTCTTTAATAATCAATTTTTTTCTAAAAGATAACGTATCCAGAAATATATCAGAATTAAACGCCATTATAATATTTTAGATCAATAAAATTAAAGAATATAATTTTTAAGTGATAATACTAATTTCCAATGAGATAGCGAATCACTATGATAAGTTTATTATTTTAAATTTTGGCCTAAATATATTTGAAAGGAATTTGTTGAATTTTTTTAAAGTTATCATTTTAAAAGAAAGGTATTGAACTAACTACTTTAAGGAAGGTCAAACTTTTAATCCATTTTTAAGAAACTTCAATAGACTTCAATAAGCTAATTATGTCATATTTTCTCTTTTTTTAATGTCCAAGCGCATTTTTTTTTAAAAAAGCGACTTCTTTTAGATCTGGAGGACATGATTTAAGAGGAATGTTAAAAGGAACATATTCGTGAACCCTCTAAAAATTCTATAGAATTTGTGTTTTGATCCGAATCAAGCTTATAATGTTTTATTGAGAGAGTAATTTTAGAGATTTGAATTTTATTACGAATCGTCAAAATATTGTTGGCCTTGTGCTATATGAAGAACAAGGTGTTTTTTATAATTTTAAAATAATTATTCTCACGTATATATAGGGCTACTAGGGAGGCATTGATAGATTTGAGATTAGGGTTAATCTTGAAGACTATGTCTTTGCCTTTGATTCTATTTTGGGCAATTTTTTTTATTATATATAATTTTTTTATATATATCGTATTGGGATATGGAATTCATGAGAATTCAGAATCTTTCAATTTTAAATCACTTATTGCGACTAAATTTACAAAAATTTAAGAATCTGATTTGACCGGAAATGTATTCCCTCATGTTCAGAGTACTGACACTGAAATTTCAGATAATTTTTTCGTGAATTTTAAAACTACTCTTAATTTTATGCATAAATTAGAGAATACACGAATATTTGATTGAAAAAATTGCTTGAAATTAAAATAAAAACATCAAAACTAAGGTTTTGAGTTTGTATGTTTTGCTCTATGGGTAATATTTTAACATTAAAGAAAATATCGATCAAAATTGAAGTTAGAACATTAAAACCAAAATAATCAGGCGACTACATTATTTCAGACTTAAATTGTTATGTTAATTTTTAAAAAAAATCATTTACTTGATATTGGAAAACGTATTCAAGGGTAATTTCAGCTTTTTGGCCAACTCCGACAACATTTTATAAGCAATAGATTGATCAGTGATACTTACAAGTGAGATAATAAAAAAAAGAATATGTTACACCTCGTTTATACACTATAATATGATTCTCTTATCATTATAAAAATTAATTACCTTCAATCGTCTAATTCCACCTTTTTCCCTTCCTAACTTGTCTACCTAATTTCTCTTTATAATCATTCCTTGTTTTGTTTATTAATATCCTCCAATAAATAATATAATATTATACTTAAGATTCGTTCTAATGTAGGTGTAATCCGTTCTGACAAATTCGTACCTGCTAGAATCCAAATTTTCTCGATTTTTGGAGTCCGTGATCTGCCTTACAGGTTTAGGAGCGAAAGTAAACCAATAATTACCCTTAGGAAGTTCTGAATGCTCTTCACTAACAATATCTTCTTCATTATCGAAGTAAAAATGACTAGGCAATGTACCCTCTAAAATTCCCTTTTTTAACGCGCCGTCATCGGGGTGAGAAGATGGATCCAGATTTTTCAAGTAATTAAACGGATAATTTTCGGCGGAGAGCTGTACCCTCGAACCCTTTTTGGGTTGGTCTACTCTTTTAAGACTATCTGGAAAAAAAAATGTTTACCTAAAATTAAAGGAAGGAAGTAAGTATAAAATCAAAAAAATTTAATTAAAGGAGCAAAAATCGTGCTTTAATTATGGAATTCTTATTCCGAAATATATCATGAAATTATCCCATAATAGTTTATACTAGAAATGAACCGATATCAAGTATCGGCAAAAAAAAATCATGGCTTGTATTTTAAATAATTATTAGTTTTTTGTTTTCAAATATAAACATTTTATTTTTATCTCATTTTTACAATATTTGACAAATGGGTTTTAATTAATTACTAAATTTTATTTTCATAGATGATTTCATTTTGTGTTAATCCTAAATTTATTATATATTAAACTTACATTTTACTATTGTTAAAATTTAAGGAGATATAAAAAAAAATCTCTATAATTATGTCCTGTTTAATTAATATTGATTCAATATTTTGTTGCCACTAAGATTAATTTAGATGCAATTTATAAATATTAATAGTTTATATAAAAGTATTAATTTTACAATAATAAAATATTGAGTAACAGCAAAATTTAATTATAAATTATATACTCAGAATCAGATTATATATTAAAGTTATAATAGATCGACAAATATTATATATCGATAGCAAAAAAATATTTTATTGCAAGTTTTACAGTTTATTTATAAATTAACAAGGAAAAGCGATGTTTAATATAATAAGACTGACATATCTATTTTTTGGATTTATATTTTAAGAAAATGATTTACCAAACCTATAGTGATCGATCACTTTAAAGTGTTTGTATTTATATATTTTTAGTTATAAATAAATAATCGGAGATAGTTTTAAAAATACCTTTCTTATCCATGTAGTATTCCATCATGGCCGGACTTATATCGGCAGTGTAATCATCATTCTCTTCATCTGCCACGTTTCGGACCTTTTGACCATGTCTGTAAATTACTCTTTCCTCGGGTTCTACGTACGGTTCTTGAAATTCAAAGTACCCAGGGTTATCCTCGTATGATGAGTCGTATCGTTTATTTGGAACATCAAGACCCGAGTTCGAAGCATATGCACCCTCTATGTTATCGCTGTCGAATGGTGTTTCTTGTCCAAAACTTAGTTCCTTTTGATATTTGCGGATATCGTAAAAATAGTATAAAATTTTGAATTGAATAATATAAAATTGCAAAATGGAGGAGGGATACGTTTTTTTTTATAACCGCGAGATCGCGGTAGTAAATTATAAAACTAACTAAAGTTGAGTACCGGATACAACTGGAGTTCCTTTTTGAAAACTCAGGGGCTTCAAATTATGGAGGGGCCCATAAGAATTTTGTTTCTTTCAATGGACACCTAGATTTCGCGGCAAGCCCTGGTTAACTATTTCCAAAATAGTAAAAAGGTATTTCTTTTACTAAAATATAAAAAATAATGATATAATAATTCAAAAATCTATAAAATTCTTTTCTAAATTTTTTTTTCCTATTATATAATTTCTCATTTTTACCCCTTCGGATTACTGAAAAAGAACGAGAAAAATCGTATCCACGATCCCTCCCTTCTATTTTTTTCTCTTAATTGGGAAAAGTAACGGAAAACGGTAATATTTTATTAACAAATTAACAAAAAAAATGCATGTATCTGAGCAATTTTAATTCACTATCTCGTTGGTTTGGTATAATTTCAAATCAGCGTTTTTTTTATAAAAGCTTTTTCCGTATACCTTTTTAATTGGGAGATTTACCTCATTTTTTTAATCGCTACATTTTAAAACTAAAATGCACTTTATTTTATCTTTTTTAAATTTTTATTAATAACACTCCGCCCAAGTTTAGATTGGCGATCAGTTATTATATTTAAATTTCTAAGCAATAGCTCACTAGCTTTTGAGATAAATAGAGTATTCAATTTTATATTTTTAACACTGCTAAATTATCGAAATTGTTTATATATTTTAAGTATTTTTAGGTGAAAAAAAAAGTAATTTAATCTATAAAAAGTTTCCTAATCGAAATAGGAACATTTATTTTCAAAAAAAATTTGTCTATTGGAGTAGTTATCCCTGTAGAAAAGGGTAAACTACATTACTAACATTATCGTGTATTCCATCATTTTCCATAGTTAAATCAAATCGGTGGTCACCCATCTGTTTCCGAAATTAAAATTAAATATTGTAGCGTAGAGCAGCTAGATTAAAGGATTTATAAATATTTCGAAATTAAATTATGGATTAAATTCTAAAATAATTTTTAAACCTAATTTTCGTAATAATATAATTTAATTTAACTATACTTCTACTCCCAACATATTATAAATAAAATATAAAAAATGATGATTATTAGTATATAATGTATACATAATTACAAGGACAAATTGACTGCTGTGCTTGACAATTATAGTCATGAAGTCCGTCATAGTTTTTGGTTATTTATAATAACTAGTTATTTATCGATTTAAATATTGTTATCTCAAACATTTTAACATTTTAAAAAGGTACTTAGATGAAACCTAAAGTCAGCTAACAATGTTTATGAAAGATAAATACCAGAGTTGTTAAAAAATTTTTTTAAATCATTCTAGATATTTATAAATGTGTATCTAAATATAGATACCACATTTTTATATCTAAATATTTTAACAGCTCTGATAAATATCGTTGAATTTAATGAAAGTTAACATCAAGCATAAGTTGTTAAAATCTAGCATAAGTTTCCTCTTTTCTCCAAAGGAGGAACTAAAAATTAAATCTTAAAAGTAAGAGATTTTCATATATGGTGTGTATTTTATTTTTAATAAGTACCATTTTATTTTGAGGATTATGTCGGTCAAAGTAAAAATCGCCAAAATTATTTGATTCTTCCCCGCTATTTAAAACGTCGGCTACTAAAATAGGGCGCACATTCGAGCTTACGGGATTCGATGAGATGAATCCCTCTTCCAAGCATATACCACCGTTTCCGTCGTTACCATCTTATAAATATTGTGTTTTTTGTGTGATAAATGAAAAAATTTCAGAAAAGAATTTTGATTTATTAGAATATTAGTGGCCATAGTTGTAGCTAATGGGAAATGTGGGAGGCTATCCCCCTCGGAATTTTGAAGATTTTGTTAAAACATCTTTGTAGGTTAATAAAAATACACACCCCCATCTCCACCTCCCCAAGAAATGAATATAAAATGGCATTCTATTATAAACAATGATAACAAAGTATAAAAAAAATATATCAGGTCTATGTTAGTAGCTCTACAATAATTTAAGATAATAAATTGGTGAACAAGTAAACTATCACCAAACTACAAAAAAATACTTTACCTTATCCTATCGACACTCAATGGGTTTGGGCAAATTTTTAAAAAAAAAAATGTACTGGAATATAAATATAAGTAAAAAAAAGTATTTTTAATATAAATAACAAATTACATTTAGAAATTATGTATTTTTTAATAAATTTAAATACTACTACAAAATAAGTTTGACTCTTTTTGAAAATAGAATTCCCCCCCCCCCATTTCCTAAATATCCTACAAAAAAATTTGAAGTTATTTTATTTTAGAATTATATCACAAAGACAAAGAATTATTATAGTTAAAGCAAACAGAGTTGTTAATAGATTATTTTTAAGTATCTGGAACAGATACATCTTCTAAAGAGGTATCTAGACATAAATACATTCATTAAAATTTATATAGATATAATTTTCCCCAAGATAATTTCTATCACAATTATATGAGCAAATGCCTAATTTAAAAATTCTTTTGATAAAATTCAAATATTGAAATGAGCTAAAAAAAGATTATTGAGTTCATATCTCATCTATATACAAAATATACAATTAAATGATAAATTTTTAGATTTAAGTAAAATAACATTCTCAAAATTTTCATCATTAAGGCATCCCCATTTAAATAATTATAATATATATATTTTTTTATATTAACATAAATATAGTTTAAGGTTTTCCATGTTGTCATCATCCATTACATAAAATAAAATTTGTCTGATTTGTTATTGTAATGAAATAAAGTTGGACATAATATTTAATGAATTGAATTCAAGTATTTTTAATGAATTGAATTCAAGTATTTTTAATGAATTGAATTCAAGTATTTTTAATGAATTGAATTCAAGTATTTTTAATGTAAAAAAAAAGTAAAATAAAATTTTATTAAAATAAAAATAGATAGATACCTCTAAAATTTATCTAGATATATACTTTTTATAAGTGTATCTAGATATATACTTTTTATAAAAGTGTATCTAGATATTTTAACAACACTGAAAGCAAACATAAAATAGTTTCAAATAATTCATTGTACCTTTACTATTAATGATTTCGGAAGATATTTTGAAGAACCTTCCATTCCGTAAATTATATTGTTAAATGACATATAGCAATTGTGGAAGCTCTTCCAGATACTCTACTATAATATCATATAAACATAATATAATATGTTAATAATTTGGTAGAACTGGAATCTTATATTTTCCAGTTCTATGTCTCTTTTTTTCTAACTTTATTTTATTAATGTTTAAATAAATAGGTTGTGGATTCCATATTTATAATTTTAAAAATATTTGAATTCAAAAATTTTTTTTTTATATATTTAGCATTTAAATACAAAAAATAAAGTATTTTAAATTTTGTATCTAGTAATTTAAATACAAATTTATCCTTTTTTTTATAAATAACACTTACATTCCTTATAACAATAATATTCAAATAGAACCTCAAATCTCTATAGAAACTGAAGAAAAGTTTAATATATAAATAAATCGCTGAAAAGTGAGGAAAAGAAAATTTTTTGTTTTTTTCCAGATGATAGAGCTCTTTAATTGCTAAAATAAGTTCGTTACCTTAAATATAGAGATCTTTTAGTTCTTTTTAGTGACATCTGAGTGCGTAAAAAGAAAAGACGCAACTAAGTAGCTCGAAGTAGTTATAATTTAAGAATTTTTACATCCTTTTGAGCAAAGTCAGAATTTTTAAAAGTAAAATTTTGTCAAATTCAAAGAGGGAGAAAAAAATCATTTATGATCAAATGATTATTTTTGAAGGTAATTTGTTAAGGGAAAAAGGATATAGCGCTGGACTATAGGAGCATTCTCTCATAAATGTTTTTGATAAGTAGTTTAAATTGGTTGTTAGTCATAAATTAGAATAATTTGGCACAGCGTACGATTCAAATAACCATCAATTTTAATTGATATGTAATTAATAATTCATTTTCAATTTAATTTATGTGATATTAAGCAGTTAAAATTTAAATATATCAAATAAAATGTCGTTTCTTCTGTCACAAAATAAGAACGTCGTTAAGAAATCAATATAATTAATTAGTTGAATAAATCGTTAAATTCAAGAAAAATCTTTAAAATCCCAAGATAGGGATAAACCAGTCGAAACATATTGGGAATACATAATTTAATGACTCCTTTTTAAATAATTGAATTTTACTGCGTTAAAATTTGAATTATACGTTTAATTTTAAAATTCGAAATTAATAATTATTCAAAAGTCGATTCGTAGGGGAAAACCCAAAATCGAGCAAAAATAATAGCCTGAATCGTTCATTTAACTTGGGTAGAACTTTAAAAATACAAATAGAATAATAAGATATTCGTACTTAATTCGAAAATTTTTCGGATCGAATAATTAGTTATTAGCTGTATTCGTATGAATAAAAATCATCTCGGTGTCGTTAAATTTTTGAAAAGTAACTAGTTACAGTTAACTAATTTTAAAAAGGTACCTCGCAGTACTAGTTATATTTCGTTCCATTTTTTTTAAAGTAACTAATTACATTGAGAGTTAATTTAAAAAATTTGTGAACATAAACCGAATATAAAACTCAACATTTTTTAATAAAAATTATTTTAGATAAAAATAACAATTTACGGTTCAGATTCGGTTGGAACAAACTATAATGTCAAATAACTCGAATTAATTAATTAATTTAATTTTATCATTAAAATTTTATTATTATTCTATTAAAAATTTATAAAATTTATATAAAAACTTAATAAAACATTATAAATATCATTAAAAAAAGAATAAAGAAAAAAAAATGTGAAAATCAAATATTTTATTTATTATTGATTTATCCAAAAGTAACGCTTACAATGAATATAAATGTATCGGATACAGTATCGTCAATACCGTAATAACTGTGCAAGGAGTGATAATTAGATATTTAACAAGTATAATTAAAAATTAATATAAATTAATATAAAAGGAAAGCGGAATAAGGTAAAAAGGTAAACCGCATTTTTAAATGTGAAAAAACATTATATTAAATAATTATATATCGATTTTTTTGGTTAGTTTGTTTTTAAGAACGAGAAATCAACTCTAAAATGATATTATTAACATATAATATTATAAAATAGATGGGTTAATATTTAATTTATATTATAGCAATAACGTTAAAGGTAAGTTTATTTAGTAAAAATCTATCACCTCGCGAAAAAGAGGTCAACCTGATCATACCAATTGTAATTGGACTTGAGCTAATGAAACAATTATACATCAAATATAAAAAATCGATGGGGTCAAGGGACTTTGAAGAATCTCCTTTATTTAGGAACAGATGGATCGGCACCGATATAATCATTTTCGGGAAAAATTGGATCCCGATATCATGTGAAAAACTAATCCGATTTGTTCAAATTTTTTAAAATAATCCCTTAATATTAACTGTACTTGATCTCATTTATTTATAATTCGTTTTATTAGAGCCTAAATTGAGGTGCTAAGTCTAACCTACCCCGGATCTAAAAAGAGAAGCACGGGTAAGTTAATTGCAATAGGGTTTAAACTATAGATCGGTTGAAAGCAATATTTTTTGATGAAAGAAAAATCATGAATTTTCAATTATAAAAGATTTTATTTTAATTAAAAAATTCCCCATGCCAAAAAAATATTTTAAATAATTACCCAAGCCAGCCCAAATTTTTTTAAGCGGACCGAGAAGATCTATAGTTTAAACTAGTAATGAAATAGTTAAATATAAGGCAAGTAAAAGCTCATATTATTTTCAAATACTGTTTTTTTCGTATTAAGGGTCCAATTAAAGTTAATGTATAATTATTATTCTTTTTTTGAAAATAATTTTTTAGCTTTTACCGCGATGTTTAAAAAAAATGCCTTTTTTAAAAAAAATTATTTAAAATCACATTTTTAAAGTTTTTTTCTTTCGTAGTTTAATAAATTATTCAAAATATTGTATTTATAAGTAGATTATTATTAAAGCTGTCCGTTTCGCAATTTTTTTTTTCACGGATCTGCGATTTTAAAAAATTGCCTTTTTAAAATTTATGGATTCATCTTGAATGGTATGCGTTAGACTTATAGCAGGATGATTACCGGCTATTTAATTAGTAGCCTAAAATTCAGAGACCTGCAGAGAACCATTTGCAAGTCCCGGCCCAGATTTTTTTTAAAAATAACTTTTTGACCCGGCCCGGACAGAGTTTTATATTTTCACGCCCGGCCCATGTATCTTTTTAAAAATAAATTTTCAGGCATGGCCCGAATGTTTTTTATATATATATATTTATTTTATAGATAATATAATGGCGATTCAAAATTCTAAAATATACGGCCCGACGCGAATAAATTTTATAATGAAAATATAGCAAGACCGGGCCTGCAGGTCTCTGCTAAAAATTAAAAGCAAAACTTTTTTAAAAAACAAAAAAAACAAGAAAATAAAAATAAAATCAATAACACCAAATACTTAAAACAAACCTAAATAGCGTATTCTGGTTCAAAAGTAGTCTAGGCTAAACAATCATGACACAGCCGAAAGATTTTTTTTATATATGGAAATAATATTTAATTTATAAAAGAATTTGGCATTTCTAGCTACAAATCTCATTTCTTCAGAAATAAACTCTTTAAAGATTTTTTGCTAAAATAATTATTTTTTCAAACTCTGATATTTAATCATTTTATTCTTATGGATTTTAT